TATGGGCTTCTCCCTTGACGGGACGTCCCCCCGATTGCCTGCGAGCTTCTCCTGCTGTCTGTACGGTAACTTCTGTACAGCGCGACAGAGAGTCGAGTGGTTATGACGCAATCGTTAGCCTATTTTTACTAAATCTGTTTCTACGGGGCCATAGTGTAACATAGAAGGTAATGGAGCCCTTTATACATTGTCGTGTTTCTTTAGAAATAAATAATGGACAAATGGAGTCTTTAAACGCCTCAGATGTAAAGTTATTCGCTGTCAAAGTGACGCAAAAATCAATGGGAGTCAATGGAAATGCTAACGCAAGTGAAGTTCTGCTACAACATGGCGGCACCCGTCCGGCTTCAACTTCCGGTCGATGGATTACCCCCTTGGCCGTACCGAACCGAGCCGTACCGTACCATGCAGTGGAAATGCGCCATAAGTGAGCCGTACCGAACCGAGACGTACTGTACCATGCAGTGGAAATGCGCCATAAGTGAGCCGTACCAAACCGACCCGTACCGTACCATGCAGTGGAAATGCGCCATAAGTGAGCCGTACCGTACCGAGCCGTACCGTACCATGCAGAGGAAATGCGCCATAAGTGAGCCGTACCGTACCGAGCCGTACTGTACCATGCAGAGGAAATGCGCCATAAGTGAGCCGTACCAAACCGAGCCGTACCGTACCATGCAGAGGAAATGCGCCATAAGTGAGCCGTACCGAACCGAGCCGAGCCGTACTGTACCATGCAGAGGAAATGCGCCATAAGTGAGCCGTACCGAGCCGTACCGTACCATGCAGAGGAAATGCGCCATAAGTGAGCCGTACCAAACCGAGCCGTACTGTACCATGCAGAGGAAATGCGCCATAAGTGAGCCGTACCGAACCGAGCCGAGCCGTACTGTACCATGCAGTGGAAATGCGCCATAAGTGAGCCGTACCGAGCCGTACCGTACCATGCAGAGGAAATGCGCCATAAGTGAGCCGTACCGAACCGAGCCGTACCGTACCATGCAGAGGAAATGCGCCATAAGTGAGCCGTACCGAGCCGTACTGTACCATGCAGAGGAAATGCGCCATAAGTGAGCCGTACCGAACCGAGCCGTACCGTACCATGCAGAGGAAATGCGCCATAAGTGAGCCGTACCGAACCGAGACGTACTGTACCATGCAGTGGAAATGCGCCATAAGTGAGCCGTACCAAACCGAGCCGTACCGTACCATGCAGAGGAAATGCGCCATAAGTGAGCCGTACCGAACCGAGCCGAGCCGTACCGTACCATGCAGAGGAAATGCGCCATAAGTGAGCCGTACCGAACCGAGCCGTACCGTACCATGCAGTGGAAATGCGCCATATGTTGCTGTCTGGGTCAGGTTGAGTTTATGTCATTCCATGCGGTATGTGGGCGAACTGTGGCAATATCTCAAGATGCTTGAAGAAACCTATGTGCAAAGCTACCTGAAAAACATCTCAGGTTACGACTGTAACCCTAAATAGGGAACAAGCGTTGATGACGCTTTGGGAATGGCCCTGCGTGATTGCGTCTGTAGCACACGTGTCAACTAGTCCAATGGTGAGAGTGAACGTCATAGGCGGGTGGAAGGGAACTAGCCTATGTGCAAGTGTACATTAAGCTGTTTTAAACGCCAAGGCTGGTCACACGTCAACTATTGATCTGATTAGTCAAAAAATACAGACTCCGGTACTAGGTCGGAACTGAAATGTTAAAATTGTTACGCTTTGAGCGGTGTTAAGTGGAATCGTTAACACCTCTGATTGGCTATTGTGTTCGCGCTCATCGGATATGTCTGAGGATTAGCAACAATGCTCTACGCGCAGGAGCGTTTGACATAGAAATGTTTTAAAGTGTTTAAAAAAAACTTTGACAATTCTAATTTAGTTAATGGAAGTTAATTGATAAATTAAATCTATTTATGACATTATTTTTGGAACTTTCCTCATAGGCTATATTTAGCAGTGACATTGTCAGGCTGTTTTATTTACAACAAAATAAGCTAGTTTCCTGCCCAAAATATAATGGCATTGTAATGGCAATTAATATAATAGCCTATATGTAACGATAAAGTTTACAGTGACTTTACAGTACATTTTTTACAAACGTTAAAAAAGCTAAAATAACACCTTGCTGTAGTTTTGTGTAGTTAATCACCTGACGTATTAAACACGACTTCCCAGGAGGACTTGAGCACCATATATAAAACTAACCAAACAAGTTTTTTTTTTTTACTGTATCATTTTTACTATTTATTACTTTGCCTGTTATTCACATTTAAATAACTTCCAATGCTTGTTTGGCTAAAATGTGTGTTATGGCTGTGGAGTAAGCTGTGACCAGTCCAGGCCTATAATCACTAAATCACCAACACAACACTTGTCAACATAATAAATAAAACTGTACAAATCGCCTAGCATCATATAACCTACAGATTACGACCATTATGAACATTATGAATGGAGACTCAATTCTCACCTGTGTTAAGATCAATCGCCTTTTCACTTGTCGACACACTGAAGTGAAACTGCAATGGTTTTACTATGGGTTTCACTGACAGTGATCCGTTATTTTACAGAAGTAGGGAAATGTCATGTAGCCGCCTTTTTGGTCACATTTTGGACAGCGTTGCACTATTTGGTGTCTGAGATATTTGGTTGCCCTGGTATCAATCATGCATATTTTCATGAGTTTCCCGTTTCGAGTTTATGAGACAAAATAGGGCATTTACTTTTATGCACTTCTGAATCTGAACATTGGTTGTATTACCGGAACGGAAACATGTTTTGAGTGATCTGTAAATATGTGTGAGTTAAATAGAAGTAATATAAATATACAAATCATTACATGCTAAAGAAAAACTATCACATTTTTCTGGTGTTAGTACTTTTATTTCCATTTTTCTTTGACAAAATTTCAGTTTAGACCATTTTCATCTCTCATTTAGTTATCATAATTTCACTTTTTTTTTTTTTTGAGATAGAGAGAGCAGCTAAATTACATTCTGTTCAAACAACAAACACCTCCATTTCCAAACCATAAATTACAATTCAATTTGCAGACAAAAAATTTTCGTACCCAGGTAAACACAAACTCGCTTGCAAACCCTTAAAGGGACAGTTCACCCAAAAATGAAAATTAGCCCATGATTTACTCACCCTCAAGCCATCCTAGGTGTGTATGACATTCTTCTTACAGACGAATACGATCAGAGTTATATTAAAAATGTCCTGGCTCATCCAAGCTTTATAATGGCAGTGAATGGCGATTCTGTTTTGAAGTCCATAAAAGTGCATCTATCCTTCATAAAAGTGCATCTATCCATCATAAAAGTGCATCTATCCATCATAAAAGTGCATCTATCCATCATAAAAGATTAAGATGCACTTTTATGATGGACAGATGCACTTTTATGATGGATAGATGCAGTTTTATCATGGAAAGATGCATTTTTATGATGGATAGATGCACTTTTATGATGGATAGATGCACTTTTATGATGGATAGATGCACTTTTATGATGGATAGATGCACTTTTATCATTTTATGATGGATAGATGCACTTTTATCATGGATAGATGTACTTTTATCATGGATAGATGCACTTTTATGATGGGTAGATGCACTTTTTAGATGCAGTTTTATGATGGATAGATGCACTTTTTAGATGCACTTTTAGGATGGACGCAGTTTTATGGACTTCAAAACAGACAGGACATTTTTTATATAACTCTGATCGTATTCGTCTGAAAGAAGAATGTCATATACACCTAGGATGGATTGATGGTGAGTAAATCATGGGCTAATTTTCATTTTTGGGTGAACTATCCCTTTAACGCTTCACGCATGCACACACACACACACACACTCACTGCATGACACAGCGCCGTCTGCTGGTCACGGGTAAATAAGGCTTCTCCAGTGTTCAGATTTCATTCTTAGTGTCAAATCATCAAACTGTCTGTATGCATATACCAATATGGTAGTTTACCAACTTACTCTAAAATATTAAGTTTAAACATTAAGTAAATATGTGATAAACATTTGTTGTTACATGCTTAGTTCAAGTAAACCACTAAGATACATCTAGAAATTTAGGACCAAAGCGTGAAACTGAATTAGTAATAATAAGTCATTTGTGCAACTTATTCACTAAATGCCCCCATTACATTAAACACAAAAAACTACAAGCACATTTGCAGGAATTACAGTAGCTCATTTCTGTCACAAATGATGCAGGATCCGTGTCGATTGTAGAATTATTAGAGATGAACAGAACAGAAAAATAATGAAAAATTAAATCATAGAACCAAGTACAGAAGTTTGACTCGTCTTTCACATTGCAAAAAACCGTTGGATCCCAATCAATCAAGGTTTTCTGTGACCCCTGACCCTAATTAACATCTGTCAATCAAACTCAGCAACATATCTATGAAGTGTCAAATACAGATCTTTGAAAATACAGTATTTGTATCATTAAAACACAATTCATACAAATTGCTTTAACTTTAAAACCATAAATATGGACCGTTTTGTGTGTGCATTTTATGTCTTAAAGCAATAGTTCACGCAAAAATGTCATCATTTACTCACCCCACATATTAATTAAATGGAAAAGAGCTGCATGAACATTATGAAGAAATCAAAAAGAGATGTTTGGCATTAAAAAAAAGGTTTGGAACAACATCAGGTGAGTAAATGATGAGAAGGTTTATGTTTGGGTGAATTATTCCTTTGAAACATCTGCAATAGGAGTATTTATGAACAGCTTTTAAAAAATAATCATAATAATTGGAATCATCATTCATTCATAATCTACAAACATATCTATCCTGATAGATAACATCTATGATCTAAACCTCACCCTGAAGAGTCCAGTCGTCTTTTCCCAGAAGATCCAGTTCAGTGAGTCCAGTTGTCCCAGTTTGGCTCTCGGAGAGTAATGAAGCCGTGTTTCGTGATGTTCGGTGTGTGTCGTGCTGGTCTGGCAGCGTCGTGACGTTGATTATGACTGTGTAGTGTGAGAAAGAGAGAGATTGTCCAGAAATAATACAGCAGTGAGCGCAGCTTCAAGAGGAGGCCAAAGGGGAGAGGTCAAGAGGTCAAAGTTCAGCTGATCACAAGGATGCCGAAGTGCTTCTTCAGCTGCTCCAGAAAGACGAATGTCAGGACGGTGTGAGGAATCAAGCGGATCCCGGCCGGAACTAAACCCTGTCATGCGATTGGACGGAGAGAAACGTTTCACAAAACGATCAGTAATGATTCAATTCACATTTATTTGTATAGCGCTTTTCACAATACACATCGTCTCAAAGCAGCTTTACAGAAAACACACGAGTCCACATTACAATTTAGAGAGATCTGTTCTGAGAGGAAACTGTCTGAGTTATATATTGTATATTCACGGTCTAGTTATTAAATACAAAATCACAGTTAGTGAGAAATTTATTCATTTAAACAATGTAATAATTGAATGCAGAAACAATGAGCTCATTGAAGTAATGAATACTTGTTTGTTAACTAATGATTATGACATTTAGAAAAAACTAGCATGATCACAATGTTTTTTTTTTTTTACTAAGCAAAACTGGTACCTTATAGAAGGCGAGTGGTCCCAGTTTGGCGGTTTCAGAAAGGCAGTGCGCCACACCCTAAAATACACAAACAAATATTACTAATTAGTGATAAACGTATTGAAACAATGATCAGAGAGAGAGAGAGAGAGAGAGAGAGAGAGAGAGAGAGAGAGAGAGAGAGAGAGAGAGAGAGAGAGAGAGAGAGAGAGAGAGAGAGAGAGAGAGAGAGAGAGAGAGAGAGAGAGAGAGAGAGAGAGAGAGAGAGAGAGAGAGAGAGAGAGACTCACTCTGTATTCTCCTTTAGAGTTCATTAATCTCGTCTTTATGACGTCCAGCGGCTGACAGAGGAACGTCGCACAACCTCCCTGAAGAGAGAAAGATGACATGACAAACATTTATGTGTGCAGTCAAACCAACATTTATTCAGACACCTTCAACATTTCTCACATTATCAGTTTATTCGCTATAGTTTAGAAAATGGTAATAAATATGAGCAGAACTCAGAGTTCTCAGATCAGTGGATATTTCTCTGGTTTTGTCCGTCCTTCTGTTAGACTCACACACATGAATCATGTTGAATATCTGTCAGCTGTTAAATTTAACGATGTGTAATAGCGCCCCCTATCGTATAACAATGAAAACACGGAAATTTCCATCAATGGCGAGGAAAGAGTTAAAATGTAAAATGATTACACTTCTACATGTAAATATAACCAATACTGTCCAATAACTATCAGTTATCAAAAATATCCTATGATTGACCAATCAGAGGCTCCAGTACTCACAGCGATGAAGCTGGACAGGAAGTGTGTGAGTATGTTGTCTCCCATGAGTCCTGTGCCCAACACCAGCTGCTTGGCCTGGTCATAACATGCCAGCTGACACACACACACACACACAGAGAAGTTCAGCATCATAAACGGGTAAATGCCCTCATTCTTCCCTCGCGGGTCAAAATGACCCGAAGCCCTAAAATTATACTTAATGTTTGTTTGTTTTTTTGTCCAGAAAGCTTATCATATTTCATTTTGATATTTTTTTCAAATTTTTCATGCAATTTTTTTTTGGAGATTTTTTGTTCTTTTATATTTTACTATTAAATTACTAGATTGAATCAAATAAATAATAAATAAATAGTCATTTAAGCACATTCCTCACATTCTTTCAACTTAAATTCAAAATAACTCACAACTTCATGCCTAAACCTTTTAATTCAGCTCAGAATATTTTACATTGGAAGTCTTTGCCGACCTCTTGTGGAAACATAATAATATAGCATGATATATCATGACTCTTGCCAGTAGATGTGACTCTAGCTCTATGTGGAGCAGATGAGCCGTTTCCCCAGGGTCCTAAAGTCACTTCAGTATGCATTCAGATACACATGTAGACATTATAATATACTATTTTAGTATAGCATTTTTAATTTGAATTTTGAGCATTTTTAGGTTTTCTAGAAGCATTCCTCGCGCTCCATTCATTCCTATGGGGGTCAAATTGAGCCGCGACGGCAGGATTTGTTACTTTTCAAAATTTCAACCACAAAACTCATCGAATCCATAAAAATATTAAAAAAGTGTGTATTCGTGGTTCAAGTGCAACAAAAGTCATGGGATCTTAGACCCCTCCGATTAATTTTTTTTTTTTAAACATTTTCATATTTTTGACTTTTTGATTTTGACCCGAGGGAAGGATGAGGGTTAATCCAAAGCAGTTCACGGTGCATTCAAGTGTTTATGTATCCATCTGTGAGGGAATCAAACCAGCCCCTGATAGACTTTATACTCTTTATGCACTTATTTTGGGGTAAACCTCAATCCTACAATATATAATAAATGTTTTAAGGATAATCCGTAACAGATATTTGATACACTCCCATCATGCACTGCTCCCTCACCTGTCCGACGGTGACGAGAGCTCCTCTACTGGACGCCATAGTGGCTCCTGAGAACAGCCTCCTGGTTCCCTCTGAGAGAGAAACATGTTTAGAGAGAGACATTCAAACATGTGCAGAGGTTAATGACAGATGCAGAAGTGTGCGTTACCTTCCCGCCAGACCCTGAAGAGGCCGTCCAGCGCGTGTTTATAGCTGCGACACACACACACACACGATGAGGTAAATCACATTATGACTGTCTGGTGTGTAAACACTGTTTCTAGATCGAGACACACTCACTTTCTCCTCTGCTCTGCAGGAAGCTTCACATCGTTCTGCATCCTGAAGACATAAACAACATGAAATAAATCACCAGATGAGCTAGCAAACAAACACACCCGTAACACAAACCCCACAACACACACCGAACGTTAACCATGTCTGCTGGAGTCCCGATGAAGCCGCCGGTGAATCCTGCAGAGAAACACAGGCTGTGAGAGGATATCCCAGTATATTGGATTTATATATGCATCAGGGTTATGATCATTAACTAAAAATAAATATTTTCGTTACTTGAAATGAAATAAACATTAAATAGAAAAAAAGTTTTTAAAAAAAGTAAAACTTATTTTAAGTTAGTATTTTTTGCCATTTTTTATTAGTAAGCCTAAAAAATTATATATAAACAAAAACTAATAAACATGACAGACAAACCCCCCCCCCCAAAAAAAAAACAAAAAACGAATGACAAACTTTCAAATGAAAATATAAAAATAAATAAAACTGAAATAAAAACTAATATACAGTATATACTTCATAATATATATTATATATATATATATATATGTGTGTGTGGTGTGTGTATATATATATATAAATAACTGAAACTAACAAAAAGTTACAAAAACAAAACGACAACATTGAGCAAAAAGTTAATATTTAATAAAAACTATAATGCTAAATGAACTATACTAAAATAACACTGTTATGCATGCATTTATTAAATGTCACACAGCATGTTGTCTAAATAAGCTCGCGTAGTTTCATAAGTGAATTGCGAGCGATGAACACGATGGGTCTCTTGCACATTTACCACACTTGTACCAAATGCTGTAATAATGCTCTATTAACCCACTAAATCTCTCAAAACTGTTATGAACTGCTTATTACCAGACATCCTGAATATCATTATTCAGTCCCTTCAGCAAAAACTGTATCCACATATTTGTAAAACTGCAATTGTTAGAAGAAAAACAACCTTGATTCTTCTGTGCTCAGTAACTACAAACCAGTCTCTAATCTGCCATGCCTAGACAAAACAATTATAAAGATAGTGTCCATTCAGATCAATAACTTATATCAACTACAATAAACTTAGAGAGATATTTGACTCTGGCTTCCGGGCGAAGCACAGAAACAGCCTTGATTGGGGTTTTAAACGATCTGCATGTTATTTGGGACTCTTGTTCTTTTAGATCTGAGTGCTGCTTTTGACACCGTTGATCATGTGACTCTTCTCGACCGACTGCAGATCTGGGTCGGTCTGTCAGGTCGGGTCTCAGATCCCACTTAAGCATCAGGGAAACTGTGTTACACCTCCAGGCGTTATACGTGGTTTCTTGTGGTGTTCCTCAAGGCTCAGTTTTGGGTCCTTGTGGAATTACAAATTTAAGAATCTGTTGATCTTACATCCTTACAAGTCAGCAAGTTAAGCAAAGATTTTATCAAGAGGTTCCTGCCAGTCCTGTTCTCTTTATTGTAAGTCAAATGAGTCCGATTACTGAGACTCTCCCCCTTGTTCTGTGAATAGTTATGATTATTGGATTAGGAGTGGTGACACTCCAGAGTCTGGGGCGGGTTATCCTATACCTGGATACTTCATTCGCATGCTTTCTATCCTTCCCTTGGGTCATTGTGACCCGAAACTCATATTTACTTTTTTTTCTTTTTTCAAAATTGAGTGTTCATCAGAGGGGTCCAATACCCTAGGACTGTTCTCGCACTTAAACCACGGATACACACCCAAAACAAAAAAAATGATTGAATGGATTCAATGAGTTTTGTGGTTGAAATTTTAAAAAGTAACACATTGGGCCCATTTGACCCCGTTAGGAATGAATGGAGCGCGAGGAATGCTTCAGTACACATAGAAAAACCTAAAAATGCTCAAAATTCAAACTAAAAATGCTAAAACTTAACCAAAAAATTATTTTATAATGTCTACATGCGTATCTAAATGCAAACTGAAGAAAAAATCTAGTGGCAAGAGTCATGAAATATCATGTTATATATATTTTTTTCCACAAGAGGTCGGCGAAGACACCCAATGTAAGATATTCTGAGCTGAATTAAAAGGGTTATGCATGAAATTGTGAGTTATTTAAAATTTAAGTTGAAAGAATGTGAGGAATGTGCTTAAATTACTATTTATTTATTGATCAAATCTAGTAATTTAAAAGGTAAAGAAAAAAAGAAAATTATTATCAAAATCACATAAAATAAGCTTTCTGGAAGAAGAAAAAAATATATACACTACCGTTCAAAAGTTTGGGGTCAGTGAGAATTTTATTTTTATTTTTTGGAGGAAAGAAATCAATACTTTTATTTATCAAGGACAGTTAAGACATTTATAATGTTACAAAAGATTCTATTTCAAACAAATGCTGTTCTTTTGAACTTCCTATTCATCAAAGAATCCTAAAAAAAAAACTAAAAAAAAACTGTACAACTGACAGACCAACAACTGTTTCAACATTGATAATAATAATAAATGTTTCTTGAGCATCAAATCCTCATATTATACTGATTTGTGAAGGATCATTTGACACTGAAGACACTGACACTGGTGATGCTGAAAATTCAGCTTTGATCACAGGAATAAATTACACTTTACTATATATTCACACAGCTGATTTACACTGGAATAATATTTAATACTATAACTGATTTTTGTTGTATTTTTAATCAAATAAGCGCAGCCATGGTTAGCAGAAGAGAATTCTTTTAAAAGTATTTAAAATCGTACCGACCCCAAACTTTTGAACGGTAGTGTACATATAAATATATAAACATTTTTGGGCTGCAGGTCATTTTGACCCGCGAGGGAAAGATGTGTTACAAAGTGCGAGGGAAGGAAGAAGGTTAAGGTCGTCAGCCAGGCTCGTATCCTCCATTTCTAAACTACAATATACAGCAACCGAACATCTCGTGTTCTCAATAAATAATCCCGCTGAAGACACAAGCGACTCTCCTGGTCTTCTCCTCTAATATTTACCCTACACATGCTGAACAGGCTCATCGAATGCCATGTTTAATTTCACCAGAGTGCAGATGACACACAACTATCCTTCACTTGCCCCAGATTCCCACACTTCACTTCCCACCGTACCGTCCTGCAGAGATTAGAGAGCATTGCGGACGTCTCAGAGCTTCAGCTAAACACAGATCAGACAGAGGTGCTTGTTATCGGTAATGACGCGCGGCGAACATCGATTGCTGCATATCTTTACTCTATCACTAACAGCCAGTAATCAGGCCAAGAACTGATGATGGACATGACCTCCGTTTATTATCATCTCCAAAGTACGTGACATCGTCTCGCCTTCTGACAGTCAGAACCTCGTCCATGCATCCGATACGTCTAGACTTGATACCACATTACTCCAGCACTTCACTTCCTTCAGAGCTGAATCCAACATCCTCAGATTAGTGTATTAATGTCTTCATGGAAATGCCCTAATACGCCTTTCCACTTGTTCGAGTAAAAGTACTCCAGCAAGATCGCTCCGAACATACAGTGGACCAAAAACACGGCTAAAATTTTATTTTATTGTTATATTTTATTTTATCACCTTCTTTTTATTAAGTGTATATGTTTTTCTTTTCTGTGAATGTATTTCTCTTCTGTAAAGCACTTTGTAAAGACGGTGTTAAAAGGTTGCTACATAAATAAAGCTTTACTTACTTCCTCTAAATCTTATTATGATCTGTGTTGCACTGCGCGTCTCATCGTGAGGTAGTTGGTGTGTGTGTGTGTGTGTATTCACCTCCAAACGCGCCCAGCAGGACTTTCTGATAGAAGGGCATGGGTCCCTGACTGCCGCTGCCCATCATGTCTCGCACCGTCTCGTAGATGGCGAACCGCGTGAGGGAATACGACATCTGCGCAGACACACACACACACTCAGTTCATCCTCTTCTGTGTTAGAGGGGCATCTTAACCATGTTTAGCCTGTAAACACTTAACATTAATCTCACACTTAAAGGATTAGTTCACTTTTAAAAAAACTTTTGCTGATAATTTACTCACCCCCCCATGTCATCCAAGATGTCCATGTCTTTCTTTCTTCAGTCGAAAAGAAATTAATCTTTTTGATGAAAACATTCCAGGATTTTTCTGCATATAATCGACTTCAATGGTAGCCAAACGGTTCAAGGTCTAAATGACCGTTTCAGTGCAGCTTCAAAGGGCTTTAAACGATACCAGACGATGAATAAGGGTCTTATCTAGCGAAACGATCTGTCATTTCAAAAATAAATAAAAAAGTTAAAGTTTTATAGGCACAAATGCTCGCCTTGCGAACTCTCCTGTTCGAACTCGTTCATCAAAATGAATGAATCTTTTTTGAGTCAATGACTTGAAAAAAGATTTGTTCATTTTGTTGAACGAGTCAATGACTCGAAAAAAGATTCGTTCATTTTGATGAACGAGTCAATGACTCGAAAAAAGATTCGTTCATTTTGATGAACGAGTCAATGACTCGAAAAAAGATTCATTCATTTTGATGAACGAGTTCGAACAGGAGAGTTCGCAAGGCGAGCATTTGTGCCTATAAAACTTTAACTTTTTTATTTATTTTTGAAATGACAGATCGTTTCGCTAGATAAGACCCTTATTCATCGTCTGGTATCGTTTAAAGCTGAACTGAAACGGTCATTTAGACCTTGAACCGTTTGGTGCCCATTGAAGTCCGTTATATGGAGAAAAATCCTGGAATGTTTTCATCAAAAACATTAATTTCTTTTCGACTGAAGAAAGACATGGACATCTTGGATGACATGGGGGTGAGTAAATTATCAGCAAAAGTTTTTTAAAAAGTGAACTACTCCTTTAAGCATCAGAGATTTCACACTGTAAACTGAAGATCTTGAGTTTCATGAATACACACAGAACTGCTCCTCTACAGGATCACAGTTTCATAACGGTTGATTATACGAAACATGTGCGATCCAACACTTTTTACACCTTTAAAGCTTTACACCTATCATTATCCTTCACACGCAGCACTAAAACACCACGACACCCTGATGTCATTTGCCAGATCTGCATCTGAAACACACTTAGACTATTATTCGTTTGAAAAAATGTTGGACAAAATGTGTTAGTTGAATATGTCATTCTGGGGAATATTGCACGTGATTTATTTGAAAGATCGACTTCCTCACTATTGTTCAGGCTTTCTGCAGTGTCACGGTGAACGTTCATAACTCAGTTTCGGTTTGATGATGATGAAGATAACGTCCTCACTATTGTTCTGCACTGTCACGGTGAACGTTCAGAACTCAGTTTCGGTTTGTCATCTGTAGCTTTGGCAGCGATTTTTCCAAAACACTGTCAAACCTAGAAGATGCATTTTCAGTAAATAAACGAAGTGAATTCATTTGTGTCCGCTTCTTCTTCACGACTCAAACTCTTTGATTGGTACATCAGTGTCCAAACCTCATACACGCTCAACCCGCTGTAGATCCTGATCACATGACCTGTCTCTCTCTAACAGAAAACACACATTAAGTTGATGGCGAAGGCTGTCTGTGTGAAATATTTCGCGTCTCCAGTTTCACAGGCGCTACCAGTGCTCAGTTTTCCCAGAGTTCCCCGCGGGATGTGAACGGATCTGACCTGTCTGCAGAGGGACGCGCTGAGGCCGTTGTAGAGCGCCAGCACACCGTCGCTCTTCACCACGTGCATCGCCATGCCAACCATCCTCATCCTCACCTCCTGCTGCGTCTGCAGGTGCACCTGTTCAACATCATCATCATCGACATCATCAGCATCATCATCACCAACTTCATCATAAACAACATCATCTTCATCATAAACAACATCATCATCATCACCAACTTCATCATAAACAACATCATCTTCATCATCATCAGCAGCACAAAAAACAACAAACGGCATTTTCCTTCACATGAGTCTGAAACGGATACAAAATACAATACAAAACAAAAAAGCACACACACACACACACACACACACACACAACAAACATTTTGTGTCTGGTTTAAAATATATATAAATGACTGAGTCAGTTAAGTGTTTTATACATATAATATAAATAAAACACTCAACTGACTCATATACTGTATATATGCGTGTGTGTGTGTGTGTGTGTGTGTGTGTTTTTCTCTTCTGTTCACCAAGGCTGCATTTATCTTTATCAAAAATACATTAAAATCAGTAATATTGTGAATTATTATTGCACTCTAAATCATCTGTTTTCTATGTGAATATACAGTAAAGTGTAATTTCTTCCTGTGATCAAAGCTGAGTTCAGCATCATTACTCCAGTCTTCAGTGTCACATGATCCATCAGAAATCATGAATAATATGAGGAATTTGATGCTCAAGAAACATTTCTGATTATTATCAATGTTGAAACCATATGCGCTGCTTTTGTGGAAACTGTGATAGTTTTTATTCGTCAGGATTCTTTGATGAACAGAAAGATCAAAAGAACAGCATTAATGTGAAATAGAATAGTTTGTAACATCTAAACATTTTCCAGCTTTTGTTTTTTATTTGGTTCTGAATTGTGAGTTATCAGCAGCCACAAACGAGCCCACGTCTATATGAAATCCCAAATCATTATATCAATTGTGAGAAACATGTAGTTTTCCGAGCACTAACTGTTTGTTGAGCTATGGATATCAGCACATCTGTAAATGCCAACAATGGTAGAAATGTAATTAATGTAAAAATGCATCACGTGACCCAGGGATGACATTTACATGAGGAAAAGGATCTGATTTACCAAACAAATGGTTAATTATGTCATTGCATTACATACACAACACTCTAATAGGTCTAGAAAGAAAACTTTTGAATTTTTGCCAGTTTTTAAATACTTATCTGTCATTCAGCCATTAACGTCTGTGTCACTTTTGGTCAATTTAATGTATCCAATTGGTGAATAAAAGCATGTACTTTTCAGCAATATATATATATATATATAGCGTGTAATAAATATCATCTCTCCAAATAGACTGTAGTTCAACATCAACTGTCTGAGTTGAGCTCAAGTGTGTAAAATGTGCAACAATTTTCTCATTCAAGCATTACATAAATACCTGCACACAACAGGTTGTAACAAAACCTCTCTCTCTCACACACACACACACACACTAGTGCATTGTAGCATGGTTTGAACAGTGGCCAACAATGACTTCACATATCTTTCTGTTGAAAGGAGATGTACACAGTTTAATAATGCAACTGTAACTCGAGACTGAACGGGTCAGCCATAAACAGAAGATGCAGTGTGCAGAATATAGTGGGGAAATATTACAATATCAAGAAGAACATTTACATACATATGTTTGCAACTTGTATCACCCTGTGTTTACCATATTCACAGACCATTGGTAAAACTTTATAATACGACTCCATTAGTTCACATTAATGCACTACTAACATTAACAGTGAGCAATTCATTTGTTACTGTATTTATTAATCATTGTTAATATCAGTTTATGAAAATACAACTGTATCTGTAATGTCAGCTGTGGTCCATTAAACAATATTATCAGATACAGCTTTTGATTGTAATCATTTATTAGTAAATGTCAATGTTTTTCATTGTTAGTTCATGTTCACTAATGTAGTTCACTAATGTAGTTCACTAATGTAGTTCACTAATGTAGTTCACTAATGTAGTTCACTAATGTAGTTCACTAATGTAGTTCACTAATGTAGTTCACTAATGTAGTTCACTAATGTAGTTCACTAATGTAGTTCACTAATGTAGTTCACTAATGTAGTTCACTCAAGTTTACTAATGAATGTTAACACACAAAAGCGTTTGCAGATGACTTATAAAGGTCAAAGGTCGCGCTCAGATTGGACTCACGAGGGTCTCGCTGTCTCTCTTTAAACACACAGTCTGAAGGGTAACCGGGTCAAGTTTTTAACTTCAGCCAGTGTGTGTGTGTGTGTGTGTGTGTGTGTGTGTGTGTGTGTGGTGTTAAACGGTACTTATCTGTGGCTTTTGTTTGGTTTTAGTGAATAGCAGACAATCTGAGCTCACTCAGCCGGATTGCTCAATAAACTCGCTCTCCTTTTTATAATTCATTCATTCGTGTTTCATTCATTCACAGGTGCTTTCCAGCCACCTGATACTCTCCTCTGTGAAACTCTGATGAAAAAACACACAGTAAAACTACTTCTGGAGCAGACACACACACACACTGAAGCAGACACACACACTGAAGCAGACACACACACACACACACTGAAGCAGACACACACACTGAAGCAGACACACACACACACTGAAGCAGACACACACACACACTGAAGCAGACACACACACACACTGAAGCAGACACACACACACACTGAAGCAGACACACACACACACTGAAGCAGACACACACACACACTGAAGCAGACACACACACACACACACACTGAAGCAGACACACACACACACTGAAGCAGACACACACACACACTGAAGCAGACACACACACACACTGAAGCAGACACACACACACACACACTGAAGCAGACACACACACACACACACACACTGAAGCAGACACACACACACACACACTGAAGCAGACACACACACTGAAGCAGACACACACACACACTGAAGCAGACACACACACACACTGAAGCAGACACACACACACACTGAAGCAGACACACACACACACTGAAGCAGACACACACACACACTGAAGCAGACACACACACACACTGAAGCAGACACACACACACACTGAAGCAGACACACACACACACTGAAGCAGACACACACACACACACTGAAGCAGACACACACACACACTGAAGCAGACACACACACACACTGAAGCAGACACACACACACACTGAAGCAGACACACACACACACTGAAGCAGACACACACACACACTGAAGCAGACACACACACACACTGAAGCAGACACACACACACACACTGAAGCAGACACACACACACACTGAAGCAGACACACACACACACTGAAGCAGACACACACACACACTGAAGCAGACACACACACACACTGAAGCAGACACACACACACACTGAAGCAGACACACACACTGAAGCAGACACACACACACACTGAAGCAGACACACACACACACTGAAGCAGACACACACACACACTGAAGCAGACACACACACACACTGAAGCAGACACACACACTGAAGCAGACACACACACACACACTGAAGCAGACACACACACACACTGAAGCAGACACACACACACACTGAAGCAGACATACACACACACTGAAGCAGACATACACACACACTGAAGCAGACATACACACACACTGAAGCAGACACACACACACACACACACACACACACTGAAGCAGACACACACACTGAAGCAGACACACACACACACTGAAGCAGACATACACACACACTGAAGCAGACACACACACACACACACACACACTGACTGAAGCAGACACACACACACACACACACACACTGAAGCAGACACACACACTGAAGCAGACACACACACTGAAGCGGACATACACTGAAGCAGATACACACACACACACACACACTGACTGAAGCAGACACACACACACACACACTGACTGAAGCAGACACACACACACACACTGAAGCAGACACACACACTGAAGCGGACATACACTGAAGCAGATACACACACACACACACACACTGACTGAAGCAGACACACACACACACACACTGAAGCAGACACACACACACACACACACACACACACACACTGAAGCAGACACACACACACACACACACACACACACTGACTGAAGCAGACACACACACACACACACACACACACTGAAGCAGACACACACACACACACACACACACACACACACTGACTGAAGCAGACACACACACACACTGACTGAAGCAGACACACACACACACTGACTGAAGCAGACACACACACACACACACACACACACTGAAGCAGACACACACACACACACACACACACTGAAGCAGACACACACACACACACACACACACACACTGAAGCAGACACACACACACACACACACACACACACACACACACACACACTGACTGAAGCAGACACACACACACACACACACACACACACTGACTGAAGCAGACACACACACACACACTGACTGAAGCAGACACACACACACACACACACACACTGAAGCAGACACACACACACACACTGAAGCAGACACACACACACACACTGAAGCAGACACACACACACACACTGAAGCAGACACACACACACACACACACACTGAAGCAGACACACACTGCTGTGTTTTTGTGATATATGAGGACATTCCATAGGCGTCATGACTTTTATACTGGACAATCTGTATATTCTCTCCCCCTACACTGCCCCTATCCCTAAACCTGCCCATCACACACACACACACACACACTGCCCCTATCCCTAAACCTACCCATCACAGGAGACATGCTGCATTTTTACATTTAAAAAAAAAAACATTGTTTTTTATGTTTTTTAAGCTATTTGAAATATGAGGACTCATGCAATGTCCTCATATATCACGTGTAAGTTGTAATACCAGTGTAATATGCATGTCATTATACACATTTGTGTCCTCATATATCACAAAAACAAAAGCACACACTGAAGCAGACACACACACACACACACTGAAGGTCAAAGCAAGACAAGATAATCAAAGTCCAGCAAACCGGCCTCAACTGGACACAGATGGCAGACATGCTGATCTCACACGTGTGCGACTCGAGGAATCTGGACAAAAGCATATGCATGAACACACACACACACACACACTCTCTCTCTCTCTCTCTTTCTAACACACACACACACACACACATTCTCTCTCTCTAACACACTCACACACACTCTCTCTCTCTAACACACACACTCTCTCTCTCTCTCTCTCTCTCTCTCTCTTTCTAACACACACACACACACACTCTCTCTCTCTAACACTCACACACACACTCTCTCTCTCTCTCTCTCTCTCTCTGATAATGAATGAACACTTCCTGTCCACATGGAGAGCTGATCCTAAAACACCACTGGCCTTTAATATAACAGTACAGCACGCAGAACATGTACAGCCTTTCATCCCCAACTCTATTATTATCAACACATCATTTACAAGAACCGACTGCGCTGTAGGCTATATGACAGAGAAACTCGAGTGTGTGTGAGTCTGTCATCTACAACACCGTTGTTTAATGTCCTTCAACAGTTGCAGGAAGTGTTTGGGAGTCGCGCTGACCTCCGTACTGTTATAATGTGATTACACACACACATTCTTTTGAGTTAGTCACACATGACATCACACGAGGCCAATAAACTGATCCCAAATCAGAGCTACTGACATCTGCCTGTCATTTAACATCTAAAGTGCAGGATGAATTTATTCATTATATTTCTAGAATTAATTTAAATGCTTTTCATTTAAACTTAAATTGAAATATGTACAAAATTGCTTTGATAAAATAAATCAAACCAACAGTTATTTTACACAACATTTGCACAAAATTTGATTGAATCTTTCAAGGATTATTATGTTAATGTTGTTAAAATGGTCAAATATTAACCGATTTATCAGACACAAGGTTTTCGGTAGATTTTGCAATAAATAAGCATTTATATGTTGATGGTGTTAAAATGGCCAGATATTATGAGATTTATTGGATGTAAAATGTCTGTTACAATTCGACTAACGTTAGTCTGAGATTGCTAAAATGGCCAAATATTACAGTCGATAAATATTCTTTAGAACAAGGCTGGCAGTAGATTTTGGGAAAAGCTACAAGCATTATACTGATAAACTGACCAAATATTATATGATTTATTTTCATATAAAATGTTCAGTGGTAAATTTTGGATCTGAAAAACTACACGTCTATTGTGTCCATAGTAGGACACACACTCACTCACCACATGATCTGGGTTTGGGTTTGCACCCAAAAGGTTTTTTTTAATGGCACATATGAATATGTTTGTTTAAAAGTTATGTGGCTGTATAAGCAATAGTGTTAAAATTGATGATAAATTACTATTTCCCTTTGCAGTTTGACTGGCCCATTTTACAAGAAACTGCTAATGCAAAAAAAAAGTTGTAGGCCTAGCTGATGTTTCAAGAACTGTAGGGCCTAAATAATTATATTTTATTACATAATTTCAACACAAAATTATCAAAAACAGTCATTATCATAAAATCACATGGAAATGGTATTGTACTATTGTTGTCCCAAACCTTTTACCAAAAAGTGGCCCAATTTAGCTGAATCACCCATGAATGATATTCCACCCAACGTTTGGCTATTAAAATGGCCAAAGATTATCCAAATTATCAGATGTAGGCTAAACAAACATTCATTGCAGATTGACAAAGCTGTCCGTAGATTCTGGAACAAAATTATTTAAAATGACCAAATATTGTCTGATTTTTTCTGACTTCAAATATTCAGAACAAATTGACAGATTTTAAAACAGACTAGCAGCATTATGATAATAGTGTTAAAATAGCCTTTTCCGATTTATGTTATCAGTCTGGCCGATATTTTCGGTCTCTCGATCAATATGTTTAACTATCAATGATCAAAATGAAGAACTATGAACAGTTTTCTCTTCAAAGCCACACACGCACACACACACACACACAAGTCATGTGCTCGAGCGTTGTTGTCTTCCTCTGGGGATGAAGATTAGACCGATGATCTGTCATTCTACCTGCACTAACCACACACACACACACACACTCACCTTGATCAAGTCCAGAGGGTGCGTGCAGCAAGCGGCTCCACACGACGCGATCCCACCGAAATACCAGCGCGACATGCGTTTCTCCGCCATCTCTCCGGTCCCCGTTGGCTTCTCTTCTCTCGGTCTGGTTGCAAGCGACGCGCGTTGCTGCGTGCGTGGATGATCTCGCTAATCTTCCGCGAGGTCAAGAGCGGAACGGTGATGTTTCCGATGTGCTCGAGACATGCCGAGTGCGTGGCGTGCGTGACCGGGGCGCGCGGACAAACAAAGCGTCGCAAAGTTCACGAGCAGCCAATTGCTCGCGAGGAATCTGGAACGGCCTCCCGGTGCGCCAGATCCTCCTACTGGCACACACACATTACAAACGTACAAAAAGAGATAGAAAAAAAAACACCCATCCGAATGTTAGGTGTTCATTTGGGAACGAGGGCTGGACTCTTAAAGGGACAGTAGGCGCTGAGATGACGTGGGGACTCGGGAGCGCGCTGAGTTACTGCACTGTCACTTTAAGACGAGACACTTCCTCATTCACACGCAACTTTTAGAGGAGGGGTGGAGTCACTGCATTTGGCACAATAGAGTTGCAATACTGTTGTGTAAAATGTTTAGTTGGCCAGTAAACGTTTGTTCTGGAGACATGGCTGACTGACTGACTGAATGAATGAATGTAGGCCTACTGTACTATAATATCTATAGTCTGTCTAAAAATCAAGTAAATAAACTCAACAATAAACATCAATGACATATAATCATTAATAATACTGAACATTGGAAAAAAGACTAACAAAAACAATTCGTGAGACTGTTATGCAACAGCAACAAAAAAACAATAAACGTTTGTTCTCACGTTTTGTCTCAATAAACGCATGTTGAGACATGAATGGCTGACTGAATGAATGAAGACTATCTCTCTATAAAACGTCAATTTATAATGTAGGCCTATTACCATAGAATATTTATCGTCTGTCTAAAAATCAAATACTTTACCATTGAAAAGTTAACCTGACAATCTAAAGTCTCTATCAGCTGCCAGTTCCATGAAGAAAACATTTCTTTATTATTATTATTTGCTTAAGGGATTTGTTGCCATCAGAACCCCAAGCTTTGCTTTTCAGATGGCGAAACCATGCAACCATACAAAATGAAAGTTTTTTTGGCTTTTAGTATGTTACTCTTACCGTTATCTACGGTTTTCTAAGCTTGTTTCCGCTACAGAATACAAAATAAAAAAGGTAATTGCAACTTCTTATCTCACAATTCTGGCTTTTTTTCTCAGAATTGCATGTTTATATCTTGCAATTCTGACATTATAACGCACAATTGGGAGATATAAAGTCAAAATTGCATGATGTAAAGTCGCAACTGCATGTTTATATCTCGCAATTCTGACTTTATAACACGCAATTGCAACTTTATATCACACAATTACAGTCAATACTGACTTTACAGCTTGAAATTCTGAGAAAAAAGTCAGAATTGCGAGATAAAAACTCGCAATTATCTCTTAAAATGTTTTATTCTGTGGTGGAAACAAGCTTCTATAGTTATCTAAGCTAGTGTGCTCCAGAATCTGAAGCTCCGCCCCCTACACTATAAATGAATGCAGAAGCTGTAGCTAAAATCGGCCAGTTGTTCACACATTTACTATTTTCTACACGGTGAATGGCACATAGTCCACTATATAGGGGATAGGGAACGATTCAGACAGTATAAAAATATGCTTTCCATTGGGGCAAATTAAGTTTGGTTTCATGTTAGTGTCACGTGAACCGTCGCAGCTCCGATCCAGAGACACGATACACAGAGCGGATCCTATGAGCGAGTCACCGTGGACCAGAAAACATATCGGATCCATTTGAATTCAGCACAGGATTTAGTATTTTAAAGTGATATGGATGAGATTAGGAGGAGAATCGATTAGAGATTAGAAGGAAACTGCAGCTTTTTTTAGCTCAACAGCTCTGGTCGAGCTGTGATATAAACTAAATGCTATTGGCTCATTTAAAAAGGGGAGGAGCTGATTGATATGCCCCGCCCTTTCTTTCTGTTTCAGAGAAATTAAAGGTAAACTTAGTAACTTTTTTACCTTAACCGAACAGCTTTGGAGTCATTGTAATGTTTATATTACTGATTTCGTGTTGAATGGTGGTCGTCTCGCACCCCCCTGGTGCCTGTGAGACGCAAAACCACCTTTGCGACTTTGGGCCGGCGGGCCACGATACTTCCTCAGTGTTAGGAAGTATCGTGTGATATGAGGTCTCGCGAGGTAACGAATTGCTTTACGGCAAAAAACAGATCTGATAAAATTCTGATAAAATGAGCATCAAACAGAAATAACCCGGCGCTGCATACATGTGGTGATGGGCGCGCGCAGCTCTTAAAGGGGCCATACCTTATTTTCACTCGTTACAGCATCCATCCTACTGAACAGGTACCGGTGTACAGGGGGAGGGGATCCGGCCGTGAGTGCGAGCCATCTCTGCGTGAGTGCTATTCACGACAGTACAAGTGCTCCACAGCGACTCTAGGGGTCGCTGTTTGACAAAAACAGAATTCCTACTTAGTGCTGCTTTAAGTCAACACTAAATAATGCTGCACTTTTCAAGGCACTTCAGTGGGGCTTTAATTCTCTCCTTATCAATAATGTTTCCCCTTAAACCACCAAGGGTTTGAAATGAACCCAGTTTATGAGACCCTTCACTCTTCCCTCGTGTCTCTGAAGTATTGATGTTTATGAATTCCTCCTCCTCTCATGTTGTTTCTGAAGGAGTTCTATGGAACACGAGCTCCACTATGATGACATCATCGGACTCACAGTGGACACTCTGTTTATTGTCCCATCCTGTATTCTGCTATTGTGTTGTGTGTGATTTTCTGCCAACGCATGTTGTCAACACACATCAACATATACATGTGCACATAGTCAGTCCATATTATTACATTAGGTTTATTAGACAAATAATGCACAGTAACACATCAATAAATAAATCACATGAGATATAATCATTATTAATTATACTGAGCATTGGAAAAAAGATATGTGAGACTGTTATGCAAAAAAAAAGAGTAAACTACAGAGCTTAAATTGACCTCCTATAAAAGATTAATTAGAAATCAAAATAATTGCTAAAGGCTTTATGAATGGTAATTTGAAATGTACCCATATTCAGTCTATGAAGAGGACAGAGTCAGATTACTTAATGGAATTGGACTGTCTAAATGAAAATGTACCCTCATGTCGTTTCAAACCCATGTGTTATTTCTTTCTAGCACACAAAAGTAGAAATTTTGGGTGAAAAAAAAAGTACATGAGAATGGATAATAAAGAGTTAAATCAAAGGACCTGCATAAAGTTGATGCAAAAATCACAATTTTCCACAGAAAACAATAACCGCATACAGTTTTTGAATGACATGACAGTGCGTAAATTATGATATTCCTGAATTTCTGAATATTAAATGGTAACACTTTATTTTACAGTGTCATTGTTACACATATGTTACACGTCCTTACCATAGCAATAACAGTAAATTATCCAACTCAACCAAATCCTAATCCTACCATAACCCTATAGTAAGTACTGAGTAATATTAAGCAACCACATGTACTTACTAAAGGGTTAGGATTGGGGTTTGGTTTAGGGTTAGTTGCATGTCATTATGCATAATTAATAGTTATTACTATAGTAACTACATGTAACAATGACACTGTAAAATAAAGTGTTACCAAATAAAGTGTAACCGATTAAACCTTATATGCGACCATTAGGACAGTCTTTTTTGCTCCTTTTACACAAAGAATTTCTCCGGTTTGAATAATAACCACATACAGTTTTTGAATGACATGACAGTGCGTAAATTATGATATTCCTGAATTTCTGAAGATTAAACCTTTTATGCGACCACGTTTTCCAGGTTGATGTCACCTTTTACACAAAGACTTTCTCCGGTTTGCTCTCAGCCGTGGAGGGAGGGTTCGCTTTTCCTCCTCGTCCAAAAACAGGAATAACAGGAGCTCCCGGGGACGCGGAGCCTAAATATAGCACAGCCCCGCCCACCAGCATCAGCACGGTCACGCCCCATCCCAGGTAGAGCGCAGGTCCGAGTTCACGTTTGAGCGGCGCGGCGACACTCGGGTCGTAGAAATCCCGAATCACGACGTGCGCGGTCCAACACACCGGCACTAGGAAGAAAAACGCAGCTATGAGGAAAAGCACGGCGCCGACCTGCGCCATCCGAGCCTTGGCTTCGTGAGCGTCGCCGAGGCCCCGCGTGCACTTCAGCCCGGTTACGCTGAGCGGGACCGCTAGCAGACACAGGAACAGCGACAACACGCACAGGCCGCGGCACATCTGGGCGGAGCCTGAGAGCGCGAGGCCCGAGTCGTAGACTTTACACTGCAATCGGCCCCGCTCCGACAGACACGTCATCCACAGCCCCTCCGACAGCACCTGCGACACCACCAGCTCGTCCCCCACGAACGCAGACACACGCCACCAGGGGGCGGCGCAGACCAGGACCCCAAAACCCCAGCCTGCGATGCCCAGCACCAGACCCATCACCTGAAGACTCGTGTTCGCCATGACGGATGATTGATTCACTCTGTAAAAGACAATGGAGTTTAAAATACAGGATATGTATTTCAAAGAAAATGTTTCTGTGTGTGTGTGTGTACATTCGCTAGGTTTGGAAAATAGATTTATGACCCTCCCTTAATAATATATATAAAAATAACAAATCAATTATAACTTAATAAACTGAATTATATCTGAATTTTTATAGATGGAATTAAATTATGCTTTATTCATGTTTGCATAATTATTATTAACTACATACAGTATTTCTAATAATTACAAACATTATAATTACTAACATTATTGCACTGAATTTCACTATGACTATCGGTTAAGTAGAGAAACTGGTACTAATTTCTATAATACTTTGGTACAATTAGGTTCCATTAGTTAATTTTAGTTAATGCATTAACTAACAATGAGCAGCACATTTTCTACATTATTTATTAATGTTTGTTAAAATTCATACAACCATCATTGTTAGTTGATGGTTGTCATTGTTAGTTCATGTCAGCTCAGCTTCATTAAACAATATTACCAGATACAACTTTTGATTCGAGAATAGTGCATTAGTAAATGTTGAAATTAACATTAACTAAGATTAAAAAAAAAAATGTTTAGAAGTATTTTTGATTGTTAGTTCATGTTACTAAAATCTCTTCACAAGAATTCTGTATGAACTTTTTCAACATAATTACAAAAACAACTATATTACAAGTATATATTCAAAGAAATGATTCTGAATGATTTCACCAGATGAAGTGGAAAATCTTCAATACTTACAGTGTCCGAGGAGCGTCTGTGTGTCGAGCTGATGTTGTTAAACTTTCATCTGTGTGTGTGTAGAAACACTCTCTTTGTTTTCACATGTGGGAGTAAATCTGCATCTGAGCGACGGACAACATCATCTCATCATTATGTGAACACACACATAAATACGGCATGCACTTATGCAAGCGCCCACACACACACACACACACACACACACACACACAAGAGCTACAGTCATGCAAACATACACACCACAGATACATATACTGTGTATTCATTAGAAGACAACTAATAGACACACAAATATGTTTCTCTGTTCACACCAGAACACTAGGTGGCAGAATAGAGTCATGCGAGACTATTCACTAGCAGATTCAAGACTGTCATAAAAGAAGACATTCCTTAAGATGTTTACATGACCTCATGTCATTATTTTTCTGCCAATTTGCCACTATTCACTTTATATTCACTTATATTCACCAAAACAGTTTAATCTGTTTGTAAGAAAGGCTGCACACGTGACTGTATAATAGTGTATGACATATTGATGCGCTCCAACACACCCTGAGTGCACACAACGAGCAGCGCTCTGCCTCCAGCCTCCCAAGCAATTCAATTCAATTCAATTCAAATTTATTTGTATAGCGCTTTTCACAATACATATTGTTTCAAAGCAGCTTTACAGAAAGTGCATTTCAGAAATGTACATAGAAGAATATAGTTAGTTAATCAACATGTATTAATTTAGGGCATAACATATCGCCGGCGTTGAGTCGTCTCTTCACAGGCGTCGAGTCGTCTCATCGCAGGTGTTGGAGCATCTGAAGTCTCCGTGAGACCCTTTGCATAGCAGCGAAGAGCAGTTTAGTGCCACCTTAGCAGAGATCCGACAGACTAGATCAGAGTTGAAGTTACTCGCCAAGACGGTGCGCAGTATTCAGTAGACCCCTCAACTAGCTATAACATGCTCCCATTCCAGTACATCTGACCCACTTATGCCTGCTCAATTTCCCATATCCCCCTAGACCACAGATTTTTGCCTCCTCCTTGTACAGAGCTGGTCAGCGATAAAGTCAGTGAATGCGACGAAGTAGACTGGCCTGAACCTCCCCACTAGCCAGAGCCAGATTAGCCACGGCCTATTGTTGATGCTCCTATAATGGGCCTTCTGGAGAAGATGATGAGTGAACTGCAAGTATTAAAGCAAGCTGCCATCCATCCAAGTAGATCTCTTGCAGTCCCATCAGCAAGCCTTCCTGTCAGAGACTCCAAACCTTCAGACCCCCAGACAAGCAGGATGCTTCTGGGCCATTCAAGACAACGACAAAGCCTTCATCCTCAGCCACCTCTCAGAGCCGGTCCAGCTTATAAGTCAGAGCAGTACGAGAGTTACCTACAAGGTGAGCTCGCAGCAATCTCCCAGCCACACCTGCAGAGGAGGGCTCAGCCGAGATCCCAAATTGATCTCCGGCACCAGACTGTCCCAGCCGACATACCGAGGTCCAATGCCAACGATCCCCCACTTCAATCACAGAGACCCCAGCGAGTTTGCTAGATTGAAGATACCTTTGGAGAATCTACTGCCCCCAGATGCACTCCAAAAAATGATATGTTGGCTTTACTTAACTTTTTTATGTAAACAGGTTCCACCGGTAAAAAAATAAACTTCGTAAAAAATATGTTGTGTAGGCACACACAGACATCAAGAATCAGCATATGAATCTCAGCAATGGTGACAAACAGATCATAAGCTCATTATTTATTCATGCAGCAATGCATGATGGGAGCCATGAATGAGTTTTGATTGGTGGCACCCAGAATGCACTGCAACATGCTTTATAATTGTCACCATTGCTGAGATTCATATGCTGATTCTTGATGTCTGTGTGTGCCTACTCAGAATATTTTTTAGGAAGTTTTTTTTATTTATTGATTTGATCATTTGAATTTCATTGAAAAGTCTAAAAATAGTATGCTCTACAATGACAATGCTGCTATTATTCGAAAGGTAAACTTAACTCAGAAATTCGGTTTAATGTTCAGTGACTCAGGTCAAATGATTGTGAAATAATGATTATGTTAAAACACAACCAACACCATCAGATGACCTTTGTTTATTGTTCATCCGGCTGTTATAACTCATGTACAGCAACCAAACAAAATCTAAAGTTAATAAGTTAATGGTCAAGAGCCCAACTAAAACACACACTTATCTCCATAATGGTGACTTAAACATTCCGGTTTTCTCCTTCAGAGATTCTGCTTGTTAACATCAGGTGTCTTCAATAATGCTCAATCATCACTCAGTTATTCACTTAATTAACTCATTAGCTCAGAGTTTAATTGGGTCGCTTAAAATGACCAAATTCCATGATGTTGAAGTTACATGAACATATTATGTTTGTTTAACGAAACATAGTTATGTGGAACCGGTGGAACCTGTTTACATAAAAAAGTAAAGTAAAGCCAACATATCATTTTTTTGAGTGGAGCTGTTTAAATACCTAATCCTAGTGGATCACTTGAAGCTGGAAGAGGCAAGGCTGATTCGTATCTGAACTCCCCCACACCTTACAGCAATACCATGGCTGCTCTTAATCAGAAGTGGCATCAGATGGCACTGAACAAAAAAACAACCCCATCAGATGGCATTGAACAAAATAGCCAGTGTTATGGACTCGCCTGATATTCGACGTGGTGATCAAGCTGCCTTTGAGAAGTCTGCTCTACAGATCTAGGCACTCGTGGGCATGCTTAAATCCCTTAGCCCCTGTAACAACAAGCAGATGGTCCGTTCTGCCATTTTCGTTTAGATCACTGGATTCTAAGTTGCAAACACAGCTCCACTCGTTGCTCCACAAAGCAAATGGTGTTTGGACGTAATTAAGTTACTGATTCTGATTCGCACACGTGGTGCTTTTCTCTAATGAGTAAACAAAGAAATGCCCTGTTGTACCGACATGTGACCCAAAAAGGCGTCGTTCTGGCTGGGGCATCCTCTGAGATGACACCTCAGAAACAAGACGAACATTGTGTCACCAGATGTTCAACTACATATAATTCCCCGGAGGGGGGTGAGCAAGAGTTCACCACGTCACCGAACGCTAAATGAACTCTGCTACGCACGCACACACACACACAAACACCTACACACATACACAAACTTTTACTACTTTCCTCATTTACTGAGATATATTTGATATGTTGTTATGTTTGTCTGTTGCCCAGGTCCTATGAAGGTATCTGTGATTGTATAGTGGTTCTAAACGAACGATAACTGCCTGTACTATGGATTTTAATGTATAACCTCGCAAATGTCATCCTTTACATGTCGTTTTTGATACCTACGGAATTCCCTTGATCGGACCAAGCCATATATGTAAATGAACATGCCGTAAAACGTATTTTACTACGTTTTAACATCTTTGGAGGGGTCTGACCAGATTCTGCACATGGTCACAAACCCTGCGGACACTGTCATAAATCAAGCATTTGACAAGACAAAGACGACGGACTCATCCCAAAACTGAGGAGTCTTATTGGCTTGTTCCTCCCAAAGCAGGTGTGGATTCTTTATCTTTAAAAGTCAGGATCACGCGTTTGCTCGCTCTCTTCCTTTTTCTTCAGGGTGCTCCATCATGTAACTTCTCTCCTTCGTGATCTCCTCACCGGGGATCGTTGGTTTGTTTGTTTAAGTTTTGTTTTCCTTTTTCGTATTCTGCTATTGTTCATTTCCACAGACAAGTAAATGAACTTAGCCTGAATTGTGTCTTTGGTAACTTTACGTCTGAGACCTTTAAACCTTTGTTTGAAAGTGCGCGCTCCAGACCCATCCGCAGACCACGTGACGCTCCCCAGGAACACACACACACGCGCTCTCTCGACTCAGCACCACAAATAGCATATGCAAGCAAGTATTCAATTACCGAGCTTTCAGAGCATTAAGATTGTTTTTTTCCGTGTTGTCTCAAAAAGGTTTAACGGTCCAGGTGAATTTTGCCACGATCTTCGGATCTCTCTCTCTCTCTCTCTCTCTCTCTCTCTCTCTCTCTCTCTCTCTCTCTCTCTCTCTCTCTCTCTCTCTCTCTCTCTCTCTCTCTCTCTCTCTCTCTCTCTCTCTCTCTCTCTCTCTCTCCCTCTCCCTCTCTCTCTCTCTCTCAAACTCTGACCCTTTTTGATCTCTTCCTTCATCTTTTTCTCCATGTTTCTCTTTATACTGCTGCCACTATTGTGTTTGTAAATACATGTATTCCTTGTAACGCTTAGTAACCCATACGTAATCGCAGTTATTAAATACATTCATTTATTGACTCTGTCTTCATGCTGATACTCCAAGTCACTTAAATGCGATTCAGCTACAAGCTTTAAATTTGTAGAATATTTTAAATAGTATTTTTATAGAATAAGAGTTGTTTTTCATGGCCAGAGAAATAGCCTTGCTTCTATAAGACAGATAGCCTTTCGTGAGGGTTAATTTAATATCGTATGGTCAGTTTGCCGGACACACAGATTGGTTCGATATTGAATTGATGCCATTAAAGGTTATCCTGAGAATAAATCTATTCTCGACAATTTGTATATAAATAAATAATTATAATTCGTTATGATTTTGATTATTGATACATAAAATTATTCTAGTTTTGCCAATCTGTGCGATGACTGATTATGAATCCGTTGTATTCAGTCGTTCATACAGATTGGCAACGTATTCCCTTTTTGGGAGATTTTAAATGTATGCTTCTCTGGGCCGAATCCGTATTAATAGTTATTAATTTTGAATTATTAAATATTGATTACATATTTCCCCCAAAGCCTGGCCCAGGTTCGCTACACCCCCCATGAGAGATAGAGCTATAGTGTGGAACAAGCACGCCTGTTGAGTAAGTTACCGCCAGAGAAGAGAGCTGCAAGGAATGGGGAACAACCTATACCCTGACTGCCCTCTCTGAGTGGCTGCAATATGAGTCCTGGTGCCAGGAATATGGCGGTTCATCGCAGGTGAAGATCACCAAGGAGAGACAAGGGCCTAGACAGGAACCTCGCCAGAAGAGGTGGACCACCACTGTGTTGTATGGAGCCAGAGAGGCGACGGAGAGAGACATTTCACCAGTGCCTGTGAATCTCCCAGCCAAGAACAGAATTAAGTCTTACTGCACATTCTGTAACAACTCAGATCACTTATTGAGCCAATGCACAGAGGTTGTAAAATGAGGAACCAATTATCAGAGTGGATCCGTACCAATAAAAGGTGCTGGCGATGTGCAAGAACCCACCAAGCTGCGCAGTGCAACCTGCGGAAACCCTGTAGCATTTGTCAAGGTAAACACTTACCAGTGCTGCATAAAATTAATTTCATGACACCTAAGACTGAGATTAAGCAAACCAAAGAGAAGAGCTGTCTGGAGAATACACCTTCGGAAGTGCTGTATGTGGACAGACCAGTAGATGGCAGTCCTGTCCTATTAAAGGTTATTTAAGTACTACTCCACCATGGCAAGCACACCCTGTGCACATATGCCATCCTGGACGATGGCTCAGAACGGACTATGCTCTTACCAGCTGCAGTACGCCACCTGGGCCTCCTGCCAATAAACCTCAGCACAGCTTCCTCATCACTGGTGCCTTCACCGCAGAACAACTGGGTCTTGCACTTCACTCTTACCCCATATGGACAAATTGTAGAAGAGGACCTTGTGGGCCTTCCAATACAGGCATTCGAGCAGGCGCAGCGCTTGCTGCTCATTGGAGCTGACCACCCTCACTTAATTACTCCCATTAAGCCAGTAAGGTTAGGACCCCCAGGAGGACCGGCAGCTATTAAGACACATTTAGGATGGACATTGCAGGGTTTGTTGACCTCCACCATTCCCCAAATGGCAGAGCTCTTCAGGAACGTCGAGAAACTGAGGCAAGTTGACGTACTTCCCTTCAGGAGCGAGAAGGAGGTCACCAGGTCCCGACATGACCAATATGCTGTTCATATGTTTATCAGTCATAGCCAGCCAGAGGATGATGTGAGGTTTTCCATTGAGAAATGCTTCTACGTCGATAATTATCTGCAAAGCCTCTCCTCCCCTGACCAAGCCCGAACACTGGTACATAAGCTAAGGGAGATTCTAGCCTCTGGTGGATTTGAACTCCGCCAATGGGCCAGCAATAAACCAGAGGTCATCAGCCATCTACCGAAAGAAGCCCGATCAGACAGTCTAGAACTCTGGTTCCATCACGGCCGAATAGATAATCCTTAATCCGCCCTGGGCCTCAGCTGGCACTGTTCCACAGACAAACTGAGGTACAAACATCGACCAGTAAATTATGATGCTCCTACCATGCGGAACATCTACAGGGTAGTCAGTATGACCCCCTCGGGTTTATCCCGCCGTATACCACCCATGCCAAAATACTAGTGAGACAGCTTTGGGACAAACACAGGGACTGGGACGATCCTCTACTGCCCCATGATTTACTACAAGCTTGGAGAGGCTGGGAGGGAGAGTTACAAGTCCTGCCGAGAACAACACTGTTTGTTGCTGGTACTTTGATTTGCCAACTTTAAGTGCCTGGCCTTATTCTCTTACAGTGCTGTTGTGTTTTCTGTTGTGTTTGTAACAGTACACACACAACAGAAACTGTATTTCTTCCTGTTTGTCTATGCATGATGACTCATTTGCACTTTCCGTATTTTTTTTTAAATACTAATAAATAAGACTGTCTGAGCTTCAAGAAATCAACTCATAGCTGGATCCACCAGGACTTCTAAAAGTGAAATAACAGGATTTGCTTGTTTGTGGGCAAGTCCTGCTTTGTTTGAACAATGGAGAGAAATGGCTAATTTGATTAGCAGTCACGTGATCACACTGTTGATTTTCCTGCATGTACTTTCAGTTTGTTTTATTCCATTCAGCCCGAGAAAGAAGATTGCAAAATATGTAGAAATCCAAATGACAAACTTCACAGAAAAATGGCTGGAGCTCATACAGGAACATTAAAATATTGATTCAATCGAAACATTAAAACATTAGCTGCATTCATTGTTATTTTATTTTGAAATATTTAAAAACAAAATACTGCCATAAAACACATATTAAACCGTAGATTTGGAAGAGGAAGAAAAATATTGAGTTCTTAAGTAAATAAATAGATATGTAACTCTTTATTCTTTTTAAAGAAGAAAAATTGGCTACATCTCATCTCTGAAGTTTTATAGTATATTGCAGAGTAAGACACAAGCAAATAACATTACAATGATTTTGTTTCTTTAAAAGTTTTTATAGATTTAGCTTGTTACCCTCAAATTTGTATGTGTATTTCTACCTGTTTTTGTGAGACACATTTATTCTACCTTTGGTCTGATATCTTTGTCTTTAGGTCTTTAGGTGTCAAAATACAGCCAATGTGTGACGCTGGCATATTTTTTTTTTTTTTTTTTTTTTTTTTACAGTATGAGGGAGTGTAGAGACACTTCCTGGGTCCGGCTCACACAGACAAACAAACACACAGGGACTTTGAACGACAAGCACTAACTGCGAAAGACATAATGGCATCAGCATATAAAGGTCAGTCTAAGTTAAATAACCTAATGTGATACAGCTAGTTTAATACCATACTGAGAAATTAATCATATAATGTGCTTTTTGTTGCTGGTAGTTGACAGCATTAAACAGTAAATCAGAAAGTAAATAGTGAAGATAATCTACATTAGCATTTAGTGAGCATACACAACCTTAAATCTCTACTATTCAGTTCTACTAATTCATTTTATAAAATATATTTGTATACAAGTACAGAGTATCATGATTAAAATACTGCATGATGTTACCAAAATAATGGTGAGGTAATGTCATCTGTCTTCTATGCCAAGTTTGAATCCCCATCCTTAAACAAAAGGAATGTGACACGACCTGTTAGCGGCTCAAAAAGTTATTTTGTGAATGTTGCTAATGTTTGTATTCATACGTCAGTTCTCACAATGTTACATAACCAGAATATCTAAAAATGAATCATCCATTATTACTTTTATGACACTGTTGATATTTCTAGTGTTTACATGGATGTAAGTGTTGGCTGCTCATCTATTTGCTGCAACTTGGAGAATAAAAAAAGATAATAAACTTTCCACGGTGTAATCATGATCTTACAGATGTGGTGCTCCCAACAGTGTAAAGCCTGATGGGCAATGAAGGCAATGTGATGTATGTCAATCAGAAAGTGTAGGTGCTGTTCATCTGTGACCACCAGATGGCCACAACATACAAGGTGTTGAAATGCTTTGAGTAATGATGTGATACAGTTTATCATACTTTGTGGCTATGCTCATTTTAGGAGGGCTTCAGTCCCACATTTCCACCCAGTCCCCCCGAAAATTAGCAAATAACTCCATTAAAACTCACATAAAACCGGTGGCACTTTTGGCTCATCCCCGAATTTCAGTCTGCGTTATTCAGCATGTTCTTCGCCACACTGAGGTTAGTTTTAATTTAGCCAGCTGGTTGGTTGGCTAGTTATCTAGCTAGCTAGTTTTAGCAAGTTAGCAAGTTTTAATTTGTTAGCTAGTTAGTTGGCTAGTTAACTAGTTAGTGTGTTTGTTGGTTGCCTTGTTAACTAGTTAGCTAGTTAGTCGGTTGTATAGTTAACCATCTAGCTAGCTAGAGGGGCTTGATGTTAGTTAATTAGTTAGATAGCTATGTGAAGTGAAGTGACATGTAAAGGCCAAGTATCCCTTACGGAACAAAAATATATGGGAATATACTGCAAAATATAATGCAATATATTACATAATACATTTCCATATATGGGAAACTAGTGCTTATATTTTTCAATATACCGCAATATGCATTGACCTTGGCTATATATTAATGAATATAAAATATTTATAAATGAAGACAAAAATAGCATTACATGTAATATTCACAAAGTTTTATCCTTTATTGTGTACATATTTTGCCCGAGGTGTAAAGTCCAGATTCAGAAAGTAAAAGACGTCCTCAGTATTTTGTTCACCTGGATTTGCTAATTAGCAGTTTTTCAGCCAGGAGATAGAAATCAGCTGACTCAGGTTGTGAAATAATGACTATGTTAAAACATAACCAACACCATGAGATCACATTGTCTCTTTGTTCATCTGGCTGTCATAACTCATGTACAGCAGCCAAACAAAATCTAAAGTTAAACTTGTAAAGGTCAACTGCCCAACTAAACCAAACACTGATCTCCATAATGGTGACTGCATTTGATTTTTCTTCTTTAGTGATTCTACTTGTTATCATCAGGTGTCTTCAATAATGCTCAATCATCACTCAATCAATAACTTAAATAGCACATTAACTTTAACACTCTTCAGTGTTAATTTAACACTCAAATTTTAACACTTTTACACTCTTGAGTCTTTAACACTCTTGAGTTTTTGCTGTGTAACATTCAGGAAACTGGACATTTTTATGTTCTTGGAATGTTAGAAATCAACATTACTATCATGTTGAATTTTTAATCGAAAATTACGTTTAAAGAACGTTTGAGGAACATTATACATTTTAAAACACGTTCCTCTAACGTCAAGAAAACTGGACATTTTTCACGTTCCCAGAACCAACACTGAATATTTGGAGAACGTTCTTATAACAAAATTCTGTTAGCTGGGATAAGCCCTAACTACTTAGTTAAATAGTTTGTTGTTTAGTTACCTAATTAGCTAATATGTTGGTTAGATAGTTAACTAGCTAGCCAGATAGTTTGTTTAAGTTTAGCTAATTAGCCAACCAATGAACCAGCTGGCTAGTTAGATTGTTTTAGCTAGTCTGCAAGTAAGTTTTTTAGTTAGTTAATTTTAAGTTGTACTGAGATACTAAACACAACCATAGACTGTAAAAAAGTTGGATGACGCACCTTCACTCTCTTCCATTGTAGAAAAGTGAATCCGCCAAAGTCTTAATATGACGCTGACATCTCGGAGCCCGAGTCTGCGCAGTAGTGAGTGTGAAGTGGAGCCGCGATATCAAGGTCCCTCCCTCACTCCCGCAGAAACTGATGGTTAGTACAGTTTACGGCAGAGCAACTCATTGTGTCGATGTGAAATATACAGTTATGGAAGCTCAAATCTCCTCCTGAAAATCCCAGGCGACTCAGTGACTACTTCACTCAGAGAGGCAAATAACTAACTAAAAACAAACTTAATTAAAACACTTACACCAACGTGATAAAAACTACCTAAAATGACAGAAACCTTCTTTGGGGAAAAGTGTAATTTCATTGTTTAGTTTGTCTTACGTCATATTAAATTCCGTTAAGAGGGCGGGGTTTATTACCGCATCTAGCCACCTGGGGCGATCGAAACATTTTGGCTTCACTTTTCAGGACTTGTGTGTCACACTTGCTCAAAGGGTCGACAAAATGCATTTTGTACAATAACAAAATTAACAGCACATGAGTAAATAAATGGGTCTGGTGAAATAGCTAAAAATGCATGGGGATTAAAAGCAGGCATGTTTAATCATCTAGGCAAGGCAAGGCAAGGCAAGTTTATTTATATAGCACATTTCATACACAATGGTAATTCAAGGTGCTTTACATAGAAAAATCAAAAGAAATAGGAATAATTAAAACAGTTAAGAATAAAGAGATTAAAATAATCAAAAGAAATAAGAATAATTAAAACAGTTTAGAATAAAAAATTAAATAAAATACAGTACAAACAGTCGGACGAGCAGTGGCACAGTGCTCATTCAGTAAATGCATAGCTAAACAGAAGTGTTTTGAGTCTAGATTTGAATGTAACTACTGTAGGAGCACATCTGATCTCTTCTGGAAGCTGGTTCCAGCTGCGGCTGGCATAATAGCTAAAAACAGACTCTCCATGCTTAGAGTGAACCCTTGGTATTTCTAGCTGATGTGATCCTAATGATCTGAGTGATCTGTTGGGTTTATATTCAGTGAGCATATCTGCAATATATTGAGGTCCTTGGCCATTAAATGATTTATACCAGTAATAATACTTTAAAATCAATCCTAAATGTAACTGGGAGCCAGTGTAAAGACCTGAGGACTGGTGTGATGTGTTCATATTTTCTGGTCCTGCTCAGGATCCTGGCAGCAGCGTTCTGTATGAGCTGCAACTGTCTTATGGTCTTTTTAGGAAGGCCAGTGAGGAGTCCATTACAATAATCCACCCTGCTGGTGATGAAAGCATGCACAAGTTTCTCTAAGTCTTGACTGAAAACAAAGCATCTAATTCTTGCAATATTTTTCAGATGATAGTATGCTGATTTAGTTATTGCTTTGACATGACTACTGAAACTAAGGTCTGACTCTAGAGACACACCAAGATTCCTGACTTGATTTTTAGTTGTTAGACCCCTAGCGTCAAGGTATGCATTCACCTTGAGAACTTCATCTTTGTTTCCAAACGCAATGACTTCAGTTTTGTCTTTGTTTAACTGAAGAAAGTTTTGGCACATCCAACTGTTTACTTCATCAATGCATTGGCACAGGGAGTCAATGGGGCTGTAATCGTTAGGCGATAGGGCTAAGTAGAGCTGTGTGTCGTCTGCATAGCTGTGGTAAGAGATTTTGTTCTTTCTCATTATTTGGCTCATTGGGAGCATATACAGGTTGAATAGGAGTGGTGCAAGAATTGAGCCTTGAGGGACTCCACATGTCATGGATGTCCACTCAGACTTATGGTCTCCTATACTCACATAATAACCTCTCCCTTCTAAGTATGACCTGAACCATTTTAGGACTATCCCAGAAAGCCCCACCCAGTTTTCCAGTCTGTCAAGAAGTATGTCGTGATCAACAGTGGCAAATGCAGCACTGAGGTCGAGTAGTACCAGCACTGATAATATCCCTGTATCAGTATTTAAGCGAATATCGTTTATTATCTTTATGAGCGCTGTCTCTGTGCTGTGATGCGATCTGAAACCAGATTGAAAATTGTCAAAGTATCCATTCAAGCTTAAGAATTTGTTCAGCTGATTGAAGACAACTTTTCAATCACATGCTGAATCAGGTCAAAAGTTTTTAAAACAGTTTTGATTTCTTTTGCCATATTTGTATCATTATCTATGTGAATGTTAAAATCTCCAGCAATAGCAAAACAGTCGAACTCTGAGGAAATTGTTGATAACAGTTCTGTAAAGTCCTCAGCAAAGGCTGGAGAGTATTTTGGAGGCCTGTAAATAATGATAAGTAAAATGCGTGGGGCACCTTTTAAAACAATACCGAGATATTCAAAAGACGGGTAGTTACCAAATGATGTTTGCTTACATTGATAGACATCCTTAAAAAGAGCAGCTACTCCTCCACCTCTCCTTACAGCTCTGCAGACACTCATAAAAGTAAAGTTAGGAGGGGATCTAGAGCTCCAGCTAATGACATGAACTGTTTGACAGGTTATGCACATGATCTGAGGATTGTGTTACTGGGAGTCTCTGGAGCTGGAAAGAGTTCAACAGGAAATGCAATACTGGGTCAAGAGGCATTTAAAGAGAGCAGAACCAGAGAGAGTGAGAAACAGAGAGGAAGAGTAGAAGACAGAAACATCTCCATCATCGACACTCCAGGATTCTTCAACACTGAACTGACTGATGAAGAGATGAAGAATGAAATGATGAAGAGTCTGTATCTCTGTTATCCTGGTCCTCACGTCTTCCTGCTCGTCATCAACCTGGGAAACTTTGAGGAGGAGCAGAGGAACCTTGTGGAGCAAATTCAGGAGAACTTTGGAGCTCAAGCTTTAAAGTTCACAATGATTCTGTTTATTGGAAGAGAAAAAATAACAATTAGAAAATGGAAGCTCATTATGGATAGTAGAAAGTTCCAGAACCTCATCAAACACTGCAGAGGTAAATATCATGAGATCAACAGTAAAACTGAGATTCTTGCAACTCACATCACAAAGCTTCTAGAGAAGATTGATGAAATCGTCAAACAGAATGATGGCCAGCATTATGACATTTCCATTTACTTAAGAACTCCACTAAAGGGCAGAAAAGAAAAGATAAAACAAGAGAAAGAAACGAAAGTGCAAGAGACAAAACACGAGCAGATAGAGATAGTGAGGGAGACGATTCACGTGCACAGTGTAAAGGAAAATAGCACAACACATTGTGTGACTGAAAAGAAAGATACTTTTTCAAAAATAGTGACAAAAATTAAGAGAACAGAATTATTTGAAGACAGATTCTCCAGAGTTACACACGAAAACAGGCAAGATGAAGAGGAGGCATTGAAACAATCAGTAAAATCACAGAGAAACTCTTTTGAAAACATGGGAGAAACAAATACAGTCCAGATCCCAGCAAAATATTGGGAAACAGGAAAATGGGACCAGAAGAAACAACATACAGCAAGAGAACAACATCCAACCCACACAGGTGAGAACTTGTACTTTATTACACTTTTCCAAAATATCACGACATCATATTTCTTGAAAAGTAAATGAAACTTAATCTCTTATTTGTCTGCTCTAAAACTCAGTGTCACAGTCCATACAGAACAGACATATGAAACTTGGAAAGCACACAGATCTCAGGATCGTGATGGTTGGTAAAACTGGAGCTGGAAAGAGCGCGACAGGAAACACCATCCTGGGACGTAAGGCGTTTAAAGAAGAATTTTCTACTGAATCTGTGACTGAGAAATGCCAACAACATCAGCAGACGGTAGAAGGTCGAAACATCTCAGTGATCGACACTCCAGGACTGTGTGACACATCAATCAGTGAAGATCAACTGAAGAATGAAATAGTGAAGTGTGTCTACATGTCTGTTCCTGGTCCTCATGCGTTTCTGCTGGTCATGAGACTTGACGACAGATTCACAAAGGAACAGAAACAAACAATGAAATGGATTCAGGAGAACTTTGGAGAAGAAGCTGCTTGTTACACCATCGTTCTGTTCACTAGAGGAGATCAGTTAAAAACACCTATAGAGGAGTTTCTGACAAAAAACAAGCAAATTAATGAGCTAGTTATAAAGTGTAAAGGCGGTTATCATGTGTTCAATAACACAGATGAAGAAAATCGATCACAGGTCACTGAACTGCTGGAGAAGATAGAGAGAATGGTGAAGGAGAACGGAGGAGAGCATTACACAAATGAGATGTACAAGAAAGCTCAGAGGAAAATAGAGGAAGTAGAGAAGAGGAAGAGAGAGGAAGAGGAGAGACGGAAGTTAGAGGAAGAAGAAAAGATAAGGGATGATGAAAGAATGAGGCTGTTGACTAAGGCTAAAGGAGTGGCATTAGTGGGAACAGGAGCGGTAGTGTGTGCAGGAGCAGTAGTTGCTGGAGGAACACTAAGTCCAGCTTTAATCTCAGGAGCAGCAGTTGCTGGAGGTGCAGTACTGGCCTCTGCTGCTAAAGGAGCCACAGTATCTGAAGCTTTAAAGGCAGGAGTAGTAGCTGCTGGAAATGCAGCACTGGCCTCTGTTAATAGTGGAGCATCACTACCTGCTGCTTTCATTGGAAGCAAGAAATCATGTTAAAGTTAAAGAAACTGAACACTGCAAAATCCCCAGAGTTAAATTAACTCTGCTCAGAATACATATGGTCCCACTCTAAAGAGTGTTAAAGTATATAACACTCTGAATCAGAGTTAAAGTTAATGAGATAATTAAGGGATTAGCTAAGTGATGATTGAACATTAGTGATGAACACCTGCTGTTAACAAGCAGATTCACTGCAGGAAAGAGAAACACAAGAGCTATGTCCCAATGTGAAGGCTGCATCCTTCGAAGGCCGCGGACTATCTTGAGGCCACGAGTTACTATTTACACAGGTTTCAACCCTATTTGAATATTTAAAACCAGTTGAATATAAAAAAGTCTAGTGCAAACGTTACTCCCGCTCGTCATCGGCAGCTGTCAGTCACAGTTGCTAGGCGACAAGAACAATCCTCCGTAGGCTAGACCGGTCTGAGCGCTTCAGATGCGCACTTTGATATGGGACACAGCTGTAGTTAGCAACAATTTGTTAATATTGTGACAATAGACCTACATTTTGTTACTTTAATTTTCAAAATAACCAGTGGTGTAATGTAAGGAACTACATACTTCGTTAAGTATTCACGTACAAATGTGAAGTAGCCTACTTTTTCCCTCACAGGACAGCAACACTACGCATTGTTTTACATTAAACTACACAAAAGTATGTAAATAAATAAATTCTCAATCATTCTTTCAAGACGAGAAAACAGTCTGTCCATCCTCTTCCTACTCTCCTCTGCAGTCCCATGCCTTCTCTAATCAAGTCCAACAACTCGTCCTCTCTGAAAACCCCTTCTTTGTAGTGCTGGTGCTGATGCTGATGATCCTGCTGGTGCTGGTGCTGCTGGCTCATCCTCTTCTTGGTCGCACTCTGCTGAACTCGGCCCTGGTCTGTCCTCAGGGATGGAGCCAATTAGGACAGGGGGGTTGGTGGAGTGCCTCTGTCCCAACACCTCATCCATGAGGACAAACCAGGGCCAAGTTTCAGCAGTGGGTTTCCCACTCACACCCTCACCTGTCCTAGGACACTTGCAATCCTAAGGCAGAGCAAATAAAGCATGCCTGTTAACAACAACAACACAATACATTTAAACAAAGATCTGTCAAACTTTCTAACTTTATATATATATATATATTATCCTGCATGGGAGTCACCTTCCCCAGCAGGTCCATTTTCTCCAGAATTCTCCTAAAACAAAACAAAAGGGAACCACTTATGAAAAATATTAAGACAGGAGTGCAATCTTAACATTAGTGCAACCTTAACATTACAAAATATGACACATCAGGATATGAATACAAAAATACTTCAGAAATCATATTTCTGGATACTCAAATTTGGTTAAAACCTTTGTAGACATAGCTTGCATGACAGCACTACAAAAACACATAAAAGTGAAACCCCATTGTCATTTATATTTTTTTTATAATAGGCTTCACAAGTGAGACAGACTAGTGCAAATATTACAAATAGGTCGTTGCCTTACGCTGGCGGAGTTTTTCACCCCCGTAAAGAAATGGTCATTTTCAGACAGCAATTGGATAAATTGAGCTGTCTGCTACTTGTTCCCTGAAACAATTATTAAACTAATATTAGCACAAGTTTTGCCTCAAACCACATGTCAAATGAAGCCACACAATGGTGACGATTGAGTAAAGATGAATAAGAAAGACAAACTTGTGGCTTTTAACGCTAGTTTCTCTAGCTATTTGAGTAAATGAAAACATAATACTTACATTTAAATGTGAATTTGCCGTCCACCACCGAACTCTCGGCCGCCCTTTTTCTTTTAATAAAAATGCTGTCGTCACTAGCGCAATGACTTATGGGGTAGGATAGGCCGCTTAGGATCCATTTATGTATCCTCTCTTTCACGGGGAAACGAAGGGTGCATTTGGCGTCGCTTTTGAATCAGGGTAGCCTTCGTCGCGCGGCAATGACGCAACCGGCCTTCGAATACGGCCTTCGGAGGAAGCAGAACAGAATTGGGACAGCCTTCATCGTGCCGTGGTGATGCAATCGGCCTTCAAATGCGGCCTTCGGAGGGTGCAGCCTATGAATTTGGACGTCCTTCGTCGTGCCGCTGTGACGCAATTGGCCTTCAAATACGGCCTTCGGAGGATGCAGCCTTCACATTGGGACACAGCTATACTGTGTATTCAATAGAAGGCAACGAATAGACACACAAATATGTTTCTCTGTTCACACCAGAACACTAGGTGGCAGTGTAGAGTCATGTGAGACTATTCACTAGCAGATTCAAGACTGTCATAGAAAGAAGAAATACCTTAAGATGTTTACATGACCTCATGTCATTATTTTCCTGCCAATTTGCCACTATTCACTTATTCACTTATATTCATTCACCAAAACAGTTTAATCTGTTTGTTGCTGGTACTTTGATTTGCAGACTTTAAGTGCCTGGGGCCTGTACCATGATGGTAGTTGGACAAACTCAGGATTATCTCATTTGGAGTAGAATCAGGTGGAGTGACTTTATCACATCAGACATGTGTCACTTTGCTCACAGCTGATTTGTCCAAGTTTGGTTTGCTACCTCTTACTGGAACATAACCTGCCCTGGACCAGGTTAGCCATGGGGCGTAAGTTACGATGATCACTGCTAAAACCCAAACCACTTTCATGGTGCCTAAAACCCAGGGTTAGCGCAAACACTGAAACATACCTGGCTAACCTAAACCGGCCTATAGGCCCAGGCCTTATTCTCTTACAGTGCTGTTGTGTTTTCTGTTGTGTTTGTAACTGTGCAAACACAACATAAACTGTATTTCTTCCAGTTTGTCTATGCATGATGACTCATGTGCACTTTAAATACAATTTTAATATATTCATAGCTGGATCCACGAGGACTTCTAAAAGTGAAATAACAGGATTTGCATGTTTGTGGGAAAGTCGTGGTTTGTTTGAACAATGGAGGGAGAGGGCTCGTTTGATTAGCAGTCACATGATCACTGTTCATTTTCCTGCATGTACTTTGTTTGTTTTATTCCATTCAGCCAGAGAAAGATGTAGAAGTCCAAATGACAAACTTACAAGAAAAATGATTGGAGCTCATACAGCTAAATTAAAATATGTATTCATTCATTTGAAACTTGCAAATATCAGCTACATTCATGTTATTTTATTTTAAAATATTCATAAACATAAAACACATATTAAACAGTAGATTTGGAAGAGGAAGACAAATATGTAAATAAATAGAAATGTAACTCTTTATTCTTTTTAAAGAAGAAAAAATCATCTCATCTCTGAAGTTTTATAGTATTTTGCAGAGTTAGACACATTACAATGATTTTGTTTCTTTAAAAGTTTTTATAGATTTGGCTTGTTATCCCCACATTTGTATGTGTATTTCTACCTTTTTTCTGGAGACACATTAATATACCTTTGGTCTGATGCTTGACCTTTAAAACTGAATTAACTTATTTTTACATTTCAAACCTATTCATTGGAGTCAATAGTATCCAGCTGCAGACCTGCAGCACCACCAGTTTCAGAACCCCAGCGCCAGAACCGGAAGTGAGGGGTGGAGCTTACGTTCTAAACCGAGTAACGCCACCTAACGTTTTGGAGTGTAATTTGCTTAGGCACGAAACGGCATTATTACACACGAAACGGCATACTTTATACGTATTATGATGATACATTAAGGTATAGTACAATAAGCATTTTAAAACATTGATTTTGTGTAATATAATTCTATATAGTTATCTGTTTCATTGTATTATGAGAGTTACTTCCTGATCATGATGGTGAAAAATAATGCTTGAAACTTATGGTCATTTTATATAAAATATACTTTATTTCACAAGAACATGTGCAGCATGCATTTTTCTTTATGTAAAATAATGTCAAAAATCTAAAAAGAGAGAGAAAATCCGGCATTGTTTTAAAAGAAACCATAAAAATGTACCATAGCTTACTTCAAATAATAGCCGAGTCCCAAATAGACGATTGTCTCTTTTACACGCCTGGTGTGGCTGCAGGTCTGGGTAAATATAAGTCCGGTCTCAAATAGAGGTCGGGTCTGTTTTTTAGTTTCAGGTTGTATTAAATCTTCTAAAACCCGTCAGATCGTCCGCTTTTTGGCGGCCGCCAAAGCAAATTTTTGTCCCGCCAAAGCCTATTTTGATCGGTGAGTGATGTAGAATAGAATGACTGCTGCGCATGACAGGGCAGAGCAGAGAGAGAGAGCCCTGGCCGCGCGCGCGCACTCTCACGTCTTCAAACAACACTTGCTCTTTATTTGTCACTACTTGCCAGACTAATATGACAAAGCACTAAAACAGTAAACATCAGTTGGGCACGGCCCAAAACATAAAGTAGTTCTGCAAGATCTTTGTCTTTAGGTGTCAAAGTGCAGCCAATGTGTGACGCTGGCATATTGTTTTTGTTTTTTTAACAGTATGAGGAAGTGTAGACACATTAACTAGGTCCGTCTCACACACACAAACACAGGGACTCTGAACGACAAGCACTAACTGCGAGAGACATGGCATCAGCAGATAAAGGTCAGTCTAAGTTAAATAACCTAATGTGATAGTTTAATACCATACTGAGAAATTAATCATATATTGTGCTTTTTGTTGCTACTAATTGACAGCATTAAAAAGTAAATCAGAAAGTAAATAGTGAAGATAATCTACATTGGCATTTAGTCGCCATGTTACAACCTTAAATTTCTACTATTCAGTTCTACTAATTCAATTTATAAAATATATTTGTATTCAAGTACAGAGTATCATGATTAAAATACAGCATGATGTTACCAAAGTAATGATGAGGTAATGTCATCTGTCTTCTTTGCCAAGTTTGAATCCCCATCCTTAAACAAAAGGAATGTGACACGACCTGTTAGCGGCTCAAAAAGTTATTTTAGCATCATTCACAATGTTTGTATTCATACGTCAGTTTTCACAATGTTACATAACCAGAATACCTAAAAATGAATCATCCATTATTACATTTATGACACTGTTGATATTTCTAGTGTTTACATGGATGTAAGTGTTGGCTGCTCATCTATTTGCTGCAACTTGGAGAATAAAAAATGATCATTAACTTTCCACGGCGTAATCATGATCTTACAGATGTGATGCTCTAATAGTGTAAAGCCTGATGGGCAATGAAGGCAATGTGATGTACATCAATCAGAAAGTGTAGGTGCTGTTCATCAGCGTCATCATTTAAAGCCCCGGCGTTACCCACCAAGCCATTAAAAGCCACTTCAGAGCTGGTGGGTAAAGCGTATTCGGCAGCAGGTCAATACTGCAGGCATACCAGGCTGATCTGCTTAGGGACATGGACGATTGTGAGGAAGTCAGCGCTGCAGCGCAACAGATCTGTCTCTCCGGGCCACCAAGGAGGCGGCCAAATCAATAGATCGGTCTATGGCAGCCATGGTGGCCACGGAACATCATTTGTGGCTAAAGCTGATTTAAAAGATAGAGACAGGTCTGATATTCTGGACGCTCCGCTTTCGCCTTCGGGTCTATTCGGGTCTATAAACAGTGTCGTCGATAGATTTCAGGAGGCGAAGAAACAATCAGCGGCGTTCCAGAAGTTTCTTCCTCGCTGGTCTAATGTCCCCGAGACTACTGTTATTAAAAAGGAGCAGTCTCGGCCATCTACGGGTTCCTCGCAACACAGAATGCAACAAAAACAAAGCGTCGCCACACGGGCTCCTCCACAATCGGGGGGGCCTGGGTGGTGGTCGCAGTCGAAGCCGATTAGAGGCAGGAAAGATCTGAGGACTGTCATCATCTCTAAGAAAGCTTAGATAAAGAAGAAGTCCTGACGCCGAGGCTATCAGGCTTCGAGAATCCGTGTCTCTCCTCGGCGCCCGCTGGGGGGCGACTCTCTGAGGAGAGAAGGTGTATGTTGCGGCTATATCTGCTTACCACACTCCTCTGGGTGGTGCATCATTGGGGAGAGATCCTCTTATTACTCGTTTTCTTCGTGGCACCCTGAGGCTGAGGCCTGCACTGTACATTAGAGCACCGGCTTGGTATTTGGCCGTTTCTTTGGAGGGCTTGTCTTTGGCTCCCTTCGGGCCAATTGAAGAGGTTTCAGAAAAGTTCCTTACACTAAAAACTTTATTTCTCATTGCTATTTCCTCTATCAAGAGAATTGGAGATTTGCAAGCCTTGTCGGTTGCTCCTTTGTGCCTGGAATTTGCACAGGGCATGGTGTAAGCCTTTCTTCACCCTAGGCCGGGTTATATTCCTAAGGTACCTACTAATGTTTTAGGCCCAATCATTCTGCAGGCCTTCTGTCCTCCACCTTTTATTACACCAGATCAGGAAAAACTTGATCTGTTGTGCCCGGTTCGGGCTTTGGATGCTTATGTTCACAGAGCTGCCCTGTGGCATAATTCGGACCAACTATTTGTCTGTTTCGGGTCACCTAGAAAAGGTTACCCTGCTTCCAAGCAGGTTATGAGTAAGTGGATAGTCGAGGCTATCTCACTTGCTTATGAAGCGGCCGGTCAGCCTTCACCTTTATCTGTCCGAGCCCATTTTATCAGGAGTATGGCTGCCTCTAAGGCTTTATTATCGGGGGTTTCCCTCCATGACATCTGTGATGTGGCAGGCTGGTCCTCACCGCATATATTTGTTAGATTTTATGACTTGGATCTTGGCTCCTCCAGGGTCTAGGGTGCTTGCTTCTTAGTGTGCGCAGTGACTTCACACAGAACATACCTTTGTTATTATGGTGTAGTGGGTATGGGGTTTCCACCACGTCTTGACGCAGCTCGAGTTCCCTTGAAAGAGAACGTATCAGGTAATGTATGGTTACGTATGTCCCGCCATGAGAGGGAATGAGGCGCTGCGTCACCCTGCCATACTCTCTGCATGCCTGTGATCAACTTGCTTCGGCTTTTCAGAAGCTAGCGCGGTCTGTTTTCAGGTGTGCTTTATAGTTCCCTGGTCGGCGACGTCACCCTTGACGTCTCGTCTCGTCACGCAGGGGCGTTTCCACCGCGTCTCGAAGCAGCGTCTCAGTCCCTCTCAGGGAACCAGGGTTACATACGTAACATGAGACGTTTGTCTTACGTCATATTACTGACGTGATACTCCCTCCGGTGGTGCTGCTCGGCTGGCGACCCGGACACGTGCACTTTCAGTTTGTGGTTCGGGTCGGATTTGATCTTAATTGTTTAATGTTTTTAAACATTTTAATGTGTTAGTGTTAAAGTGCTGATCATAATGAAGCCATTTTTGGTACAATTCCTATTACTGACTTTGATTGGAGGAATGATCCTTGCTCTGAATCGTGTATCATCTGCACACTTTGTTGCTGTGCCATCTTTGAGCTATACCAGAGTGGAATTTCTCCTTCTGAGGCCTGAAAGAACATTGTCTCCCACGGATTTACCAGTTGATATCAGGAGGAAGAGCGCATTTTCGGCGTGACCCAGAAAAAGAGGGAAGAGAGGAGGGCTTCGTCTCGGTCTTCGGAACCGTGGTGATAAAGCAATCGAAAGAGCAATGAGCAATGTGCGGTCCTTAAAGAATAAAATTGAGGAGCTACGCGTGATCACAAGGACATGGCACGAGTATCGTGAGTCCTGCTTGATGGTGTTCACGGAGACATGGCTTCATCGGGACATCCCTTGCTCTTTGGTCGAATTGGATGGGTTTTCACTTGTTTGGGCAGACAGGGATGAAAACTCGGGTAAATCAAGAGGCGGCGGTGTCTGTATATACATCAAGGACAAATGGTGCTGCCAGCATACGGTGAGAAATACTGTTTGCAATCCCGATGTGGAATTATTATGTTTATCATTAAGGCCTTTTTTATCTACCGCGTGAATTTAGAAACATCATTATTTGTGCGGTGTACGTTCCACCAAGTGGGATTGCCGCTAACGCGGCCAGGTGTATAAGTGACTGTGTCAATGAGCAATTAAGGCGCACTCCAGTGGCTCCAATTTTTATCCTTGGAGACTTTAACCAGTTTAGATTGGAGTTTATGCCCCTGGGGTACGAACAATATTTTAAGTGCTTTACTAGAGGTAACAAGATTTTGGACAAATGTTACGGAAACATAAAGGATACGTATGTTGCTAAGGCCAAACCTCCTCTATCTAACAACACTGTTCATTTGATTCCAACTTATAAAACTCTCTTAAAAAGAGCTAAGCCACACACAAATACAATCTCGGTTTGGTCGGAGGACAGTATAGAGAGCTTAAAAGGCTGCTTTGATTCCACGGACTGGGATCTTTTTCACAAGATGGACATTTAGACGGCCACAGAGTCCATAACGGACTATATACATTTTTGTGTGGAGAAGAAAACTGTAACGGTATTTCCAAATAACAAAAGTTTTATAACAAAGAATGTTTGAATAGGTAGAAGTTGGCATTTATAAATCATGATAAAATTAAATTAAAAATAGTCAAAAAGGTACTGAATATATTACTGAAGGGGGTGAGTAGAAAATTTAGAGATACAATAGAAGATAATTTTTCTACAGGGAATTAAAAAAAACTGTGGGCTGCAATGAAAGTTGTATAAAATATGGCACCACCTCACAAAACTTTTATAATGATGACAAATACAGGGCCAATTATTTAAAAGACATTTTTCTTAGGTTTGAGTCACCAGCTGATTATACGGGTGTTCTGGACAATGTAAAATGTGAACTGGGTCAGAGGCTAGTGGTTGACCCACAGGTGGTCAGCACTTTATTTAGAGGTGTATGCTCTATAAAATATTTGGGCCCGGATAGAATTCCGGCTTTTTTGTTAAAAACTTGTTGCCACTGTTGCCTTGGCTTTTGGCTTGCTTAGTTGGGGACATTTAACATTTAATATTCAATAATATTATTGATCTGCCTTACTTAAGGTGGACATTGACGCAATTTCTTTTAGAAACAAACTTTGTTATATTGTTTTCATGTTATCACTGTGAAGCGCTTTGATACAATCTGTATTGTAAAAAGCGCTATATAAATAAAGGTGACTTGACTTGACTTGACTTGACTATGGAGCTTTCCACGGCATTCTGCCCCATTTTTCAAAAATCTTTGGACTCACATAATATGCCATCTCTATGGATGAAATTTTATTTATTTTATTTGTAGTTTATTTGAATAAGCTAATTGTTACGGTGTTATTCATTTTGTCATGTTTCTGGTTTGTGGTTTCTCTGTCTTTGGTCTTTTATTCAGTTTTTGCCTTGTTAATTGTAGTCTGTTATCATAGTCATGTCATTATTAGGTCCCTTGTTTCAGGTGTGTTGTCTTGTTAGGTTGTATGGTCCCGCTCGTTGTTCTGATTTGCCCCAGCTGTGTCTTGTTCCCTGATCCCCTCTGTGTATTTAAATCCTGTGTGCTCTTTTGTTCATGGTCAGTTATTGAATGTATGTTTGAATGTGCGTACCACGAGTATCTTGTCTGTTCTGAGTCTGTATATAATTAAAGTCTACTGCTGCATTTAGATCCGCCTACTGCCTTTGCTTCCACGCAACTCGTAACACTAATAAGGACAGATACAAAAAAAACAACAACAACAACAACAGATTATTACATAAAAAACAATCCGATGCCTGTATCACAGTGTTTATAGCCGTGGCTAATTCACAACACCTGTTCCTAGAATCCTGGACTACAAATCCATTGTAATACCAGTTCCTAAGAAAAAGAACTCAGTGGAGAATGGTGATTTTAGACCAGTAGACCAGTTACATGTTATGAAGTGTTTTGAACGATTTGTTCTAATGGGTTTAAAGGATCAAACCATTACTCGACCCGTTTCAATTCGCATATAGGGAGAGGTGAGGTACTGAAGATGCCATTAATTGCATCTCTCATTTGGTTATTAGTCATTTAGAAGACATTCAAGCATATGCCCGTCTACTTTTTATTGACTTTAGTTCAGTATTTAATACCCTGAATCCCATGTTGTTGACCACAAAGGCTTAAGGTAAATCCATACTGTATTAAGTGGCTCTATTCCTTTCTGAACAACTGCACACAACAGGTGAGAGTCAACAACTCATATTCTGAAGTTAAAATTACGAACACGGGAGCCGCACAGGGATGCGTTTGCTCACCAATTTTATTTACATTATACACCAATGATTGTGTAGCAAGTCAAGACAGTACTTTTTTTTATCAAATTATCTGATGACACAGCAATCTTAAAGGGATAGTTCACCTCAAAATTAAAATTCTGTCAGTGATTACTCACCCTCATGTTGTTCCAACCCCGTAAGACTTTCATTGATCTTCGGAACACAAATTAAGATATTTTTGATTAAATCTGAGAGCTGGATCACTCCTCCATAGGCTTCTAAGGGATTGAAACTTGCCAGCCCCGAAAAGTTATTAAAGAAATCGTTCAAATTGTCCAAGTGACTACAGTGGCTCAATCTTAAGTTTAACAAGCGGCGAGAATACTTTTTGAGCGCAAAAAACAAACAAAAATAACAACTTTATTCAAGTATTCATTTCCTTCTCTGTCGGCCTCGAGATTTCACGTAGTGTAATAGCATAGTGCTTCTGGTTGAACGTCACTGTCACGTTTGTATCTGTTTAGATCTTCAGTTTGATTTCATTCTCAGTCACATGTCTTGTTTTCCCGCCATTCTTCAGTTACCATGTTAACCATTCATTAGTTCATCTTAATCACCTGTGTCTGGTTAATTATCATCATCTGTGTCAACTGTTTCAGTTCATCAGTGTTTGTATTTAGTTCCTTCAGTTCAGTCAGTCCTTTGTCTGTAGTTAGTCTTATTTTGAGTGTTTGTTCGTCCTGCCTGCCTATTAGTACCTGTGTGAATTATATTTAGTAAATCGTGTGAATTGGAACTCTGAGCCTTGTTCTTCTTCTTCTGCCCGCACCACACCCGTGACAGAACTACTGACCGCCCTAAGATGGATGATGGGGTGAGAATTATCGTCCTGGCTCAGGGGAGCCACATTTTTTTTCTTTTGTTGCGGGCTTTGTCCGCCTTGCTGTCGTCAGCGATCAGGATGATGAGCGTTTGTGCACCTTGTTCCGGATCGGGGCCACCTTTAACCACCCTATCGACCTCCCAGACACCACCGGTCTAGGCTGGAGAGACACCGTCATCCGGTGTCTGGAGAGCGTCGTGTCCCGATCTGGAGCACACTCTTGTCCTGTTGAGACAGCCCATCCAGTGTCTCGTCCTGCCGAGACCATCCCTTTAGAGGATCTTCACATTCTGGAACAGCCCATTTTCCACATCCTGCCTGAACCCTTGTCTCCAGCCAAGCCTCACATCAGTCCTACAGAGCCTTCACCGCTGGTCCCGTCCAGCACAAAGCCTTCACCGCTGGTCCCGTCCAGCACAGAGCCTCCACCGCTGGTCCCGTCCAGTACAGAGCCTTCACCGCTGGTCCCGTCTAGCCCAGAGTCTTTGTAACCCCTCCACCCACCCCGCTCAGGCCTCGAACCTGGGTCTCCGGCGTGAGAGTCAGGCGCTCTAACAAGGAGGCTAAAGACTGCAGCCCCTAGCGTCTGTTGCTAGAGCGCCTATTGAGATCAGAGGAGTGAGGTTTATTTGCACAGCGACTACTAGCTGGCCTCCGTTACACCTTCACCACCGCTGGTTCCGTCCAGCCCAGAGCCTTCACCACCGCTGGTTCCGTCCAGCCCAGAGCCTTCACCACCGCTGGTTTCGTACAGCCCTGCCAAGTCCGAGCTCCTCGTCAACCCTGCCGAACCCGAGCTTCACGTCAGCCCTGCCGAGCTGGTGATTCACTGCCTGCCAGCCATCCGCTCTGCTCCAGCCTGGTCAGTGGATCCCCGGCCTCCGCCTCCTACCTCCTCAACCAGGACTCTACCTCGGTCCTTCATCCCATCTGCTCCACCTTGGCTATTACCTCCCTCAGCTCCACCATGGCCCTTCAGTTCCCTAGTTCCGCCAGGCTCCCTCGTCCCCCCGGATCCACTTTGGTCATTCGTCAACCTTCCCTCACCTCTGGACTTCTCTCCTCTGGCTACGCCTCGTACCTTCGTCCCCCCGGCTCTGTTGGACTCCTCACTCCCTTCAGTTCCCCTTTGGTCCTCACTCCCTCTGTCTCCACCGTGCCCTTCTGTGTCCCCGCCTGCACTTCAGTCACCAGAGCCTGCGGTGTCGCCATGTCCCTTCAGTCCCTCAGCATTGCCCTGTCCAGTCGGCTCTATTGCTCCACCCTGGTCTCAACCTCCTGCTGCGTCGCCGTCAGTCGGCCCCCTGCTTTCGTCAGCCCGCTTCCGCCTTGGCTCCTTCCTCTGTCTGCTCCACCATGGATCCTCTCTCCGTCTGCTCCGCCCTGGTCCCTCTTCTGCGCGAGGTCGCGCCTTACGGAGGGGGGGAGTAATTTCATGTTTGTGTCTGTTTAGATCTTCAGTTTGTTTTCATTTTCAGTCACATGTCTTGTTTTCCCGCCATTCATCATTTACCATGTTAACCATTCATTAGTTCATCTTAATCACCTGTGTCTTGTTAATTATCATCATCTGTGTCAACTGTTTCAGTTCATCAAAGTTTGTATTTAGTTCCTTCAGTTCAGTCAGTCCTTTGTCTGTAGTTAGTCTTAGGGTGTATTCACACCAGGAAAGTCCGATAGTTCACTTGCTTTGGTCCGGACCAAATACTTTTTTTTTTTTTTTTTTGGTACGGTTCGCTTTCACACTGCTCTTTTTGCAAGTAATCCAAAATTTGTAAACAAAACCACACGTGTGCTAAGGTCGTCCATTCATTGGACAAGGATTCTCAAGTAGGGAAATCAGGAAGTGCAAAAAAGGCTCAGCATGGAGAGATTTCGTACTGCAATATTTGTTATTTTACTAATTTTGTGTTATTCTGTGCTACATGGGCAGCTGTGCTACATGGGCATCTGCCCAAATGTTAATAAGGCAGCTCATCTCTTCGAAGCTCCAGGACAAACCACGACTCATTTTATCAAATGTAGTAGGCTACAACAGATCACTTTCCCATAACGCAACTCTGACTACGGAAGCCTGTTAACTCAAACGCGCAGTGCTTTCTTGCAATTGGGTCGGTTCATGTTCACACCGTAAACGAACCATACCAGAGATCGTTTGGAACCGTACCGAGACCACCTCTTCAGCTGGGTCTCGGTTCGGTTGTTTGGTCCGCACCCGAGTTCGATTGCTGTATTCACAACTGCCCAAAAGGTCCGCACCAAGGGGGGAAACGAACTAGAGTTCGATTCAATCGAACCAAACCAGGCAGGTGTGAATACACCCTTATTTTGAGTGTGTGTTCGTCCTGCCTGCCTGTCAGTACCTGTGTGAATTATATTTAGTAAATCATGTGAATTGGAACTCTGAGCCTTGTTCTTCTTCTTCTGCCTGCACCACACCCGTGACAGTCACACGCATCCCACACATGACCAGCGTCGGCCAATAGTGAGCCTACGTGTGACGTACAACACAGAAGCACTACGCTATTACACTACGTGAAATCTTGAGGTCGACAGAGAAGGAAATGAATACTTGAATAAAGTCGTTATTTTTGTTTGTTTTTTGCGCTCAAAAAGTATTCTCGTCGCTTGATAAAGTGTAGGGGATCATAGTCCGGTAAAGATACATGGTAATATCATTGCACAGGTTCCTTCATATAAGTACTCTATGGAGTCCATATAGATAATTCACTATGCTGGTCTCTTCATGTAAACAATCTTTGTTTAACTTGTCTGTCCAAATAAAATCGAGGTTAGGACGTTTGGTGCACACCGCGCCTTTAGAATTATAAGGGGTGATGAGAGATTATCACCATAAGAGTTGTTTGATGCTTCAATTTTAAACCATGCCAAGAAAATTGTTGGAGACGTTACTCATATTCGGAATGCCCACTTTAAATTATTACCATCAGGAAGGAGATATAGGATATTGATCTGTATGTCTAATCGACTGAAAAATTCCTTTGTTCCTAGTGCAATCAAAGCGTTAAATAGAGATAAAACACTGTGAATTGCCATTAGTCTCACATGTATTTACCTTCACTTATTCTCTATTTTGTTTTAATGTATGTTGTATTGTATGTATCGACTGTCATTGTGTTTTTTATAATTTCACTTATTTCTATTCGCTTTGAATTTATGTTGTTTTGTATGTACAGACTTGCACGTTGTCCAATACAAATTTCCCAGCGATGGGACTAATAAAGTATAAACTAAAACTATTAGATTCCGTGAAGAGGGCGGGGTTTATTACTGCATCCAGCCACCTGGGGCGATTGAAACATTTTGGCTTCACTTTTCAGAACTTGTGTGTCACAAAGGGTCAACAAAATGTGTTTTGTACAATAACAAAATTAACATCTCAGCACATGAGTAAATAAATGGGTCTGGTGAAATAGCTAAAAATGCATGGGGATGAAAAGGAGGCATGTTTATTAATCTAGAGCTCCAGCTAATGACATGAACTGTTTGACAGGTTATGCACATGATCTGAGGATTGAGATGCTGGGAGTCTCTGGAGCTGGAAAGAGTTCAACAGGAAATGCAATACTGGGTCGAGAGGCATTTAAAGAGAGCAGAACCAGAGAGAGTGAGATACAGAGAGGAAGAGTAGAAGACAGAAACATCTCCATCATCGACACTCCAGGATTCTTCAACACTGAACTGACTGACGAAGAGATGAAGAATGAAATGATGAAGAGTCTGTATCTCTGTTATCCTGGTCCTCACGTCTTCCTGCTCATCATCAACCTGGGAAACTTTGAGGAGGAGCAGAGGAACCTAGTGGAGCAAATTCAGGAGAACTTTGGAGCTCAAGCTTTAAAGTTCACAATGATTCTGTTTATTGGAAGAGAAAAAATAACAATTAGAAAATGGAAGCTCGTTATGGATAGTAGAAAGTTTCAGAACCTCATCAAACACTGTGGAGGTAAATATCATGAGCTCAACAGTAAACGTGAGATTATTCAAACTCACATCACAAAGCTTCTAGAGAAGATTGATGAAATCGTCAAACAGAATGATGGCCAGCATTATGACATTTCCATTTACTTAAGAACTCCACTAAAGAGCAGAAAAGAAAAGATAAAACAAGAGAAAGAAACGAAAGTGCAAGAGACAAAACAAGAGCAGAGAGAAATAGTGCGGGAGACGATTCACGTGCACAGTGTAAAGGAAAATAGCACAACACATTGTGTGACTGAAAAGAAAGATACTTTTTCAAAAATAGTGACAAAAATTGAGAGAACAGAATTATATGAAGACAGATTCTCCAGAGTTCCACACGAAAACAGGAATGATGAAGAGGAGGCATTGAAACAATCAGTAAAATCACAGAGAAACTCTTTTGAAAACATGGGAGAAACAAATACAGTCCAGATCCCAGCAAAATATTGGGAAACAGGAAAATGGGACCAGAAGAAACAATATACAGCAAGAGAACAACATCCAACCCAAACAGGTGAGAACTTGTACTTTATTACACTTTTCCAAAATATCACGACATGTTTCTTGAAAAGTAAATGAAACTTAATATCTTATTTGTCTGCTCTAAAACTCAGTGTCACAGTCCATACAGAACAGACATATGAAACTTGGAAAGCACACAGATCTCAGGATCGTGATGGTGGGTAAAACTGGAGCTGGAAAGAGCGCGACAGGAAACACCATCCTGGGACGTAAGGCGTTTAAAGAAGAATTTTCTACTGAATCTGTGACTGAGAAATGCCAACCACATCAACAGACGGTAGAAGGTCGAAACATCTCAGTGATCGACACTCCAGGACTGTGTGACACATCAATCAGTGAAGATCAACTGAAGAATGAATTAGTGAAGTGTGTGGAGATGTCTGTTCCTGGTCCACATGCGTTTCTGCTGGTCATGAGACTTGACGACAGATTCACAAAGGAACAGAAACAAACAATGAAATGGATTCAGGAGAACTTTGGAGAAGAAGCTACTCGTTACACCATCGTTCTGTTCACTAGAGGAGATCAGTTAAAAACACCTATAGAGGAGTTTCTGACAAAAAACAAGCAAATTAATGAGCTAGTTATAAAGTGTAAAGGCGGTTATCATGTGTTCAATAACACAGATGAAGAAAATCGATCACAGGTCACTGAACTGCTGGAGAAGATAGAGAGAATGGTGAAGGAGAACGGAGGAGAGCATTACACAAATGAGATGTACAAGAAAGCTCAGAGGAAAATAGAGAAAGTAGAGAAGAGGAAGAGAGAGGAAGAGGAGAGACGGAAGTTAGAGGAAGAAAAACAGATAAGGAATGATGAAAGAATGAATAATATTAAATTTGTGGCCTTACTGGGAACAGGAGCGGCAGTGTGTGCAGGAGCAGCAATGACTGGAGGAACACTAAGTCCAGCTTTAATCTCAGGAGCAGCAGCTGCTGGAGTAGCTGGATTATCTGGAAGACTGGCCTCTGCTGTTAAAGGAGAAACAGTATCTAAAGCTTTAAAGGCAGGAGTCATCGCTGCTGGAAATACAGTACTGACCTCTGTTAACAGTGAAGCATCACAACAAAATCCCCAGAGTTAAATTAACTCTGCTCAGAGTACACATGGTCCTGCTCTAAAGAGTGTTAAAGTAACTCTGAATCTGAATGAACACCTGCTGTTAACAAGCAGAATCTCTGAAGAAAAGAGAACTACAAGAACTACAACTGACTTCCAGTCACAGCCTTAGATGAAATCAGCTAAAGATAAAAGAAGATACTAAACATCTCAAGATATCTACAGAGGAGGATTAAACGACTCCACAAACAGCATTACCAGCTTCACTTATTACTAACCAGACTGACTTTATTTCTGTCAGACGCAACAGATGTTCTTATTGAGAAGTAAAAGAGGTTTAGATGTTGATGTTTTATTGGAAATGTTTTGTCATAATTATGGTGATCAGTCTTTCTTTTAGTTGGGCAGTTTAATTTTAGGATTTTTTTTTTTGTGAGTTTTTGGTCTTTGTAACAGTGATTAACAAAATACACAATTTGTTACAAAGGAAGCCAAATGCATGCTTATACATGTTTTTTAAACAACAAAGAAAGTACAACATCACTGCGCATGTATTTTCCTTAAGCATTTCTGGAAGTGCCATTCTTATAATCCAGAGCTGTCAAAACACATTTAGTAGTGCACACTTTATAAAAAAAAATTAATTAAAAAAAGCCATGACTTAACTATTCAGCTAGCCTCGAATGATCAACAAATTCTGTCAAAAAGACGTTGAAATTTGATTGGAATAAGCAAAAAAAGGATGAAATGCATGGCAGCACATTAAATCTGAAGATCTCAGCAGAGGAGGATTAAACAACTCCACAAACAGCATTACCAGCTTCACTTATTACTAACCAGACTGACTTTATTTCTGTCACACGTCTACAGAAGATCTTATTGATAATTTAATTTTGAATTATTATTTTGTATTATTATTATTTTTTCATATTATTACAGTATGCCTGTGATTCTACATTGTCCACTAAACATTTTGAACTCCAAGAAGAAGAAGTAGTTTTATTTATATAGCGCCTTTCCTTAGCTCAAGGTCGCTTTACATTGTAAATTACAATACATTTACACACCTACACACACATTACAGTCGCATAGGATACATACAGTCACATTAAACGAAATACAAATGTTTTTAACTGAGTCTTGAATGTAACATTCAGCTGTAATCCAGCTGTGATGTGATTAATGCATGAATTAAGGTTTCAGCGTCAACTAAAGTGAGAGAAGATCGTAGACGAGCAATACGAAGATGGAAAAAATCGTTTTTAACAAGAGAAGAAATATGAGAGCCAAAAGATAGAGTTGAGTCGAATAAGACACCAAGGTTACGAATCAATGACGAAGGCTTAACATGAATTCCATCGATATCAAAGGACTGGTCCATCCTTTTGACTGAGGCAGCAGAGCCGATTACTAATATCTCCGTTTTTCTGTCATTTAATTTGAGGAAATTAAGGGACATCCAGTGCTTGATGTCCCTGATACATGCAGTGAGTGAGTCAGGCAGGGATGGCCTATCAGAGCTGGAGGTAAGATAAGTTTGAATGTCATCAGCATAGCATGGGAATTGAAGTCCATGCCTGCGTATGATGATACCAAGTCGATGTATATAGATGATGAACAATAGCGGACCAAGAACTGAACCTTGAGGAACACCCTGTGTAAGTGAAGCAGTGGCCGAACTATGACCTTGTATGCTGATATAATACTTTCTGTCGCTGATGTAGGAAATGAGCCAGGAAAGAACGGAACCAGTGATGCCGATATCAGAAAGCCGAGAGATCAGTATTTCAGAGTAGGGGGAGGCTGCAGACCTGGAGCCGGCAGATATACGCCCCTGGCAGTTTTACGCCCCGGCAGGTTTTATGACCCTGTTGTTCCTGATGCGTCCAGTAGAGGGATATACTGCGAAATAACATCATTAAATCGACGCTTAATAACCCGTCCATAGACTTGACAATTTTGTGTTTTTTGTTAATTTAAATATAAACGTTACAGTGTAGATCTGCACGGATTAAATTATCTGTTTAACAAAAAAAAACAAGGGGGGTAAACGGACATCAAAAGAGATTGAATTAGGGTACACAAATCAATGCAATATTCCATTTTGTCAATATAAAAACATGTAATGTTCTTTACAACAGACTCAATAATATTATTATTTTTATAAACCTTTGAGTTTAAAGGTTCTGACATTTTCTTAAAGGAAGAAAAAAATGAACTTTATATCAGAGGAGAATATTCTAGAATCAGGATTACTTTGAATGGTTCTGTCTTTATGAAGATGAAACTTGCCCAGAAGACAAAGTAATAATACCGTATAATCAAGTTCCCCTTCAGGGACTACCGCTGTGTGTAATCGCAGTGGGAACGCCCAATGAAATCATTCAATGGAGAGAATGAGCGTACGGCGAGTGACGTCATCGACCAGGAAGCTATAAATATCCCCTGAGCACACAATACGCCAGCTTTTCGTACTTCAGCAGCTCTGTGTGTGTGTCTGAATCTGTCGATTGTGTTTGTCTGCTTTGTCAGGAGTTTATCACTATATATATTATATAAAAAAAACAATATGAGCGAGCAGTATAAGAAGTGTGTTCCCCCCTGTACTCGATACATCACGGGTGGGGATTCACACGAGCTATGTGTGGCTTGTTTGGGAGTGCAGCATGCCCAGTCGGCTCTCGAGGGAGTCGATTGTGAGCATTGCGAGCGCTTTCCTCTGAGAACTCTGCGCTCGCAGCGATCGCTCTTCGAGGAGAGTGGTTTGCTGCGAGCTCCCCAAGGCTCGGGTCCCGCTTCTGTTGAGGCAGAGCGGCGGCGCTTGTCTTGGGGTTCGCAGATGGATCTCGCTGGCGACGTTGAGACGGGCTCCGCCCTATCTCAGCTTTCTCCGGCGGGATCCAGTGCCTCTCACCCGGCTCTGGAAGCACGCGCTGCGGTGGTTACTTCTGCCCGGGTGAAGGCACATGATGATGTTGAATTAAGATTATCCAGTTCTGAGGAGCTGGATGTCGAAAGTTTTGCATCAGATGAAACTAGTTTGTCACATTATACTGCAAGTGAAGAAGGTTTGATGGATGTGTTATCTCGGGCTGTTTAAAAGCTCAGTATCGAGTGGCCAGCTGATAGACAGGAGTCTAGTAAAAAAAGTAAACTAGATGATAGATTTCTGTCTGCACGACCTCAACCTTCTTGCCGGGGCTTACCGTTCTTCCCAGATTTTCATGCTGAGGTTTCAAAGACCTGGGTTAGACCGGTTTCAAGCAGAATTTACACAAATCAGTCCAATGCTTTTGGTAACAGTGTTGGTGCTAAATCTGCTGGTTATGTGACGATGCCGGAGGCGGAGGAGACGCTCGCGAGCCATCTCTCTCCAGCTTCATCATCTTCACTTAAAGCACTGGCTCTGCCCTCTAAACCACTAAAAAATACTTCTGTGTTAGTGGGGAAGGCTTACTCGGCGGCGGGTCAGGCAGCTGCATGTCTACACACTATGGCCATTATGCAGGCTTATCAGGCTGACCTGCTTAAAGATGTGTGTGAAGGGGGGGAAATTTCTGTTGAAATGATTAATGAGCTCAGGCAGACTGCTGATCTCACTCTCCGGGCCACCAGGGAGACAGCTAAATCTATCGGCCGGTCTATGGCAGCCATGGTGGCCACAGAGAGACACTTGTGGTTGAGTCAGACCTCTATGAAGGAAAAAGATAAGACTCTCCTTTTAAATGCTCCAGTTTCGCCTATGGGCCTCTTTGGTGACGCTCTTCTTTCTGTCACGGAGAGGTTCCAGGAAGAGAAGAAACAGGCGGCTGCTTTTCAGAAATGTATGCCCCTTAAAGTGCGTGTCGCTGGGGCTGCTGAGCGAGGGCAGTCCCAGTCGCCGAGTACCTCAAAAAGAGCGCAGCAGAAACTAAGTGTCGCGTCTCGTGCCCCCCCGCAGAGAAACTGGAGGGACGAGGCGGGGCGCTCCCCGGCACGACCTTCCCGTGGTAGGGCTGATCTGAGGACTTATCGCCAAGAAGGCCGCGTCGAAAAGATCTTGACGTACTGAACGTCAGGACTCTGAGGGTGGTCCCCATCGTGAAAGACTTGAGTTCACTGCACAATAACACGGTGCCCTGTCTTTCCCGATGCCCTCAGGGGTCTGCTCTACTTACCCTGCCTTTACAGGGCATAGAGAGACTCGGCGAGCGATTTCCCGAGGGACGCTCGCCCCAACCCGAGGAGGGTTGTGGAGTGCCCAGACCAGCTGTTCCCTGCCAGTACGTTACAGGGCGCTGTGTCTGTCACTCGGGATGTTCAAATCAGATCCGAGGACTGGTTTGTCGCGATAGATCTAAAGGACGCTTACTTCCATGTATCTATCCTCCCTCAACACAGGAAGTTCCTGAGGTTCGCTTTCGGGGGCAAAGCGTACCAATATCCGGTTCTTCCGTTTGGCCTAGCACTGTCACCCCGAACATTCACGAAGTGTATGGATGCTGCTATAGCCCCGCTGAGGTTACAGGGCATCCGCATTCTGAACTATATAGACGATTGCTTGATTCTAGCTCAATCGGCAGGCGGTTCGGCACCGAGATGTCGTTCTTGCTCATATCAAGTGACTGGGGCTGAGGCTCTACGCCAAAAAGAGTGTTCTTTCTCCATTACAGAGAACCACTTTTCTAGGTGTAGTGTGGGATTCAACGACGATGCAGGCACGATTGTCACCTGCTCGTATTGCTTTGATTCTCGCCGCAGTAGATCAGGTCAAGCTCGGCCAGTCATCCACTGTAAAACAGTTCCAGAGACTGTTAGGTCTCATGGCAGCTGCGTCCAACGTTATACCTTTTGGCCTCTTGCACATGAGACCGTTACAGTGGTGGCTCAGGACCAAGGGGTTCTCCCCGAGGGGAAATCCGCTTCGCATGATCGTGAGTTCGCGACGGTGTCATCGAGCCCTGATCATGTGGAAAGATCCTTGGTTTCTGTCCCAAGGCCCTGTGTTAGGAGCTCCTTGTCGTCGCGTTATGCTAACGACAGATG